AACAATATTATCGTTTATCGCAATAATTTTTTTAGACAATTAATCGCTCAGCAAAATTTGTTATCGTGACGGGCCTACAAATAACAATGGGAAGAAAAACTAAAAATTTTAAATAAGTGTGAAAATAAAATGAAAATGTTTTTTTCTTTCTCAAATACATGTAAAAAAAAATTAAGTATTAGATTGGTTTACAAATATAGAAATCCCTATGCTATATTTACACAAAAAAATTATTATTTTAGAAAGCGTTTTTAGTATTTGCACAAAAAAAAAAAAAGAAAAACATGAAAAAATGATTTTACCTGACAGCCTGTGTAGCCAGAAGTTGATGCTCTGTATTCACACTGCTTACTCCTCCGACTATGTCCTCCAAAGACCAATCCTGAGTCGGCTTTGGAAACAGAAACCAAAAGGGATTAGCGTCCACGGGAGAGAAGTTAAAAATAACATTCTACTGGTAGCCAGATTTGAGAGGAACTGCACTGGACTTCTCTTAAAAACAGCTTTGGAAGCTGAGCTGCGATATGAACAACAACAATCAAACAGCTGTCATTTGCATGTTGATACTAAAGTTTGCACCGAGATTAAAAATGAACTTCCATCAAGTTGTGCAGAAAAGTCACATCCTTGTTTGGATTTGCTAGTCTCTCTGAGTTCAGAGATGCTGGCATGTACATTGTTACAGAACAGTGAAAGCAGTACCAAATGTTTTTGTTTCAATTGGCTGTGTTGTGCATAAAAAGAAGAAGAAAAAAACAACAACAACCAAATGAGCATGGGCATAACTTTTTGGACAACTTTGAACTTTACGTGAACAAACGTCATTCTATTCAGAGGAATCCAGCTGCGTCAGAATGCATTCTGTCACATCTGACTTTGCTTTCTGAAAGGTATGAAAGGTGCAAACATCACCTCAGGTACCCCATTTACTTCATGTTAGGACCAGAATATTTAGTGGAAGAACAATCTACATGGATGTACTTTTCAGAAGATTTTTTTGTGTCTTTTTTAAGACGTCTCAACCAATTTTTAAAAAAAAAGATATTTCTTGGTCTTCACTTGCTAGATATTGAAGGAGATTGCCAATTTGTGTGAATTTAAATCAACTAAGCAATAAATTTATGTTTTTTTTTAAATCTTTCTGTACACCTTACTGGGGAGCTGAAACATGAACATAACTTTAAAGACTTTCGCTCACAGCTTTTTAAAGACATCAGAAATGATTAAAACAAACCAATGTCTTCATCTTAGTTTGACAAATTAGTTTGCCTGTCTTAAAAAGGCAAAAGACAATATACTTAGTTACCTCCCTACATACTAAATAGTATTCTGCATTCAAGAAAAAGCAAGCAAAAAAAAAAATACTAGGTATACGGTCATTTTTGTTGGTATATCAGTAATACAAGAAAAATTTAAATACATTTTAAATTAAATTATTTTTTTTTTAACTAGAGTTCACTTTAGTGCAAGTTTTTGCGTAAAGGTAAGTATCGCCACAAAGCGCGGGAGGCCGGTGAACCAGACGGTGACTCACCTGGACGTTGAGGGCTTTCAGGTGCAGCGGGGAGATCGGATCCTCCGCGGAGCTTTGCGCATTTCTCCTCTTCAATATTTGAACGTCTCTCTTCGCTTTCCGGAGCTCAACGTTGAATTCTGACCTCCTGCGCCTCAATTCCTGAAAAATTAGAGAGAGAGAAAAAAAGTTCATAGCCAACATGACAGCAAAAACTTTAGCTGTTAACTTTGTAATAATGCTGTTATAGGCAGAACTTACGTTCACGTCTTTCCCTTTGTTTTTGAACTGGAAGAGCCGAGCCCCGTTGTCCGTGTCAGCTGACATTCCTGCTGGCCGTTGAGCAACACAAGCCGACTCTGCTAATGTTACGCAAAACTAACGACTAACTGAAACGGTCGTGTTAACCGTTTTTTTTTTTTTTTTAATCAACCCGTCAACCGATTATTTCAGGTTAGCTCGCTAGCAGACGGTAAGCTAGTTAACGGTGCGTGTCTCTTTAAGTCAAGTAAACGTATTTGACTCCATGTGTTCCCACTGTACACAGAAACGACTTGAAGAAAAAATGTAAACTCAAATACTAAGCAAAGTAACAGAAAACAGATAAAATTCTGGAAATTCGCTTAGTAACTCGACATGTGCAAAGTGCTTACCTTGAAGGGGGGGGGGGGCAAACACTTCTGAAATGACGTCAATATATACCCCCCTGGTGTTCTAAAATATGATTGGTCAGATTTGCAAAACGCTCCGCCCTGTTACCCGGGGTTTCAGGGAGAACGAAGTTAGTATCCGATTCATAGTTTGTTGTTGTTTTTTTTAGCTATGACGTTTAAAGAAATATTTCACCTTATTTAATAGATTTGCTTTACTTTAGATGTTTTACTAAACGCATCTCATATATAAAGCAGTTTCTAATTCAACATGACCCTTATTTAATTTGAGACAATTTCAAATAAGGAAGAGTTGTTTGGCTTTACACTGCAACGTTTGACAATGGTCAGGCTCGAACAGAAATATTTTATACTGATGTTAAACTCTATAAAATACAGTTTGTGATTTGTCAAATCTTTATGCAATTTGTAAAAACTCTAAAAATTAAGGTTTATTAAAGAGATCCATGTAAAATAAAAATTACAGTATAGAAACGTCAAACATTGACAGATTTTGTCTTACTGCACAAAGATTTCATTATCTATAAACTACACTTTATAGAATATGATTAGAAGTTAATCTAGTGGAGTGAATAGCCCTTTAGACAAGACCCAAATCAGAAGCTTCGTTCCAGATGCTAACTTCAGCGGTGTGGTGCATTAACAGGCGTTTATAAATGAAATAGTTTGCTGCGTAGTAACATTTTGAGGACAATGCCTCTTATTATCGGAGGTGACCGCCACCGGGCAAAACGTACAAACAAAAAAAAGACATAAAACACGCCATGAAACTGACATGGCAAAGATACAAAATGATGTTTCCAAAACTTTCCACGTAATGACCCAGTGGCCTAATGGATAAGGCATCAGCCTCCGGAGCTGGGGATTGTGGGTTCGAGTCCCATCTGGGTCGCATTTAGTTACCTTTTAGTTGTTACAGTATGAAATGCCATGCTTATAAAGAGATAAACCAACGATGATTTCTGTAACGCATTTGTCCTGTTGCTGCACCATACGGATCAGCATCATTTCGAAACTACATTTTAATGACAATGTAAGAAATACTAACCGTAGCATTTGTTCATGTCAGAATTTTATTGCTGAATTTTTTTTTTTAGTTTTTGAAATGAAAGAAAGATAGCCAAAATGTAATTCGTAACATTTTATTACATATGGGTGATTCTATAATTCAACTTACATTTAGTATTTCAAGAGATAAAGAGGTAAAAACTGTGAATTTGCCTTAAATTTTGAAATTATTTTACTGAAAACATGTTAAACTTCGATAAATCTGTAATTGTCAAACCTTTGCTTCACATTTTTCTTACTTTCTTTTCTTTCTAAACGTTTTTTAGTAGACCGAAAAATCAACCCTGTTATTAACAACAAAGACAGTGTGTGGGGAACAAGCAGTAGGTTCTAACAGGCTAAATTATTTTTATTTCATCATACAAAGTATTCTAATACAAATACTTTTTTTTTCTTAAAAATACAAAAACATATTAATGAATCACAGAATTGCGTGTATTGGACCAAAGATGTTTTTTTTATTGAAACTCACTGAATACCAATATTTTTTAGAAACAAAATTGCCTATAATTTATAAGAAGTAACCCAACATTTATTTTCATTTTAGCTATTTACTTAATGAATATAAACATATATGTCCTTAGAGCAAAGAATTGACAGAACCAGAACATTTTATTATATTTTCATTATTCCATTTAGTATTAGAAAACTGTAATAACTATCCAAATTACAAATTGCTGATATTCTTTTCTTCAACACTAGAGGGCAGTGAATACTCATCTTTTTTAAATAATCATCTTCAAGCGCGTTAAATTGTGAATTGTATGCTAAAGAGTCTCCTAATGAATGTAAAGGTTAAAAGTTTTATGTATATAAAAATTAAGAAGCCAAGTATGGAGTATTTAATCTGACACCAGATAACAAAGAAAGCTTATTTTTAATAAAATATTTGTGTGCATAGTTCTTTCACACAGTGGGCTCTGTTGGTGTATTTTAAATTATGCACAAATGGTGGGAGTGTCGTGTGAAAGTGTTTGTGTCCCTGTTTTGGGTCAGCCCACACCCTCCCTTTTTACCTCATCCCATCCGCTCCCTGAGCGCTCCTATAAAAATCCCAGGAATCCCAACTTGAGAACAAACAGTGCAGTGAGTCCAAAACTGACCCATCCAAGATGACAGGGATTACTCTGGTTCTTTTGTTTCTGGCGTTTCCTCTTTATGACACAGAGGAACAAGTTGTCAAAGGTGAGCTGATTTATGTTTTTTTGTTTTGTTTGTTTTCTACTGACTCGTGGTGTCCATTTTATAGCTTTAGTTATAACCAATACTAGTCACTGCATGGCATTATTTGTGTCTGTAATTGGGTAAGGTTTATTTAAATACCGTATGCCATATCAGTAAGTTTATTTTTTTATGTATAAGATATTTAATACAGAAAAAGCCTGACTTCAAACTATTATTTTAATAATTGTTTGTAAAAAAAAAAAAAGAAAAAAAAGAAAACTACAAACGGTGATCCTGTGAAATATGAGGTTTTTGTTAACATTTTGTTATATTGCTATTATTTCACCATCGTTTATACAGGTAAATCCTATTGGCACATGGCGTCTCATTATCAAACCTGCCTTAAGATGCCAGAGATATTGCTAAAACAGATACAATAGTCAATATAGTGCATACAACTAATTAAAAAAAAAATAAAATAAAACAAGCAGACCATAGTATGAATAGCATTGCTAATAAATAACAAATCGCTTTTTCCAGTGCTTTTAAAATTTGTTTGAAATCCTCACGGTCAATTAAGCTGCACTGCTTCTGATTCAGTTGTTGTTTATTCGAAGTAGACCTGTATATCTTTTCTACTAAATGAACACTAAATACTTTATGATAAAAGCCTGTGAGTGAAAGCTCTGGATGCTCTGTTTAAGTGGCATAGAAAGTTTACTGCCACTGATAGTAAATCCGGTATCGATTTCTAAATTAAATAAACTGTTACAGCAACATGCATGTGGAAAACTAATGTACATGTACACATTATCACGGTGGGTGAGATCCTGTGAGGAACCTCAGTGCCCAACATCTAGAAAAAGCTTGAATAGTCAAAAAATTTTTAAGTTAGCAGTATTCACTTAAACAATGACACCATGGTCAGTGTGAGGCACATATGTGGCTCCAATTAGTTTTAGTTTATTTTAAATAAAATATTGTAAGTGGACGTGGAAGGATGTATTCTGGGCTCTTCTTATCTCTTTTGCTCCAGTAGCAAGTTAACGGTTCGTAACTGAAGTTAACTCCTTCAACTTTTACCTTGTGGAGACAGTAACTTTCTATTGTAAAACACATAATGACTCAATATGTTTAGGAACACAAAGTGTAAATACTCCAAAGAGTGACTTATGCCATACATTGAGAGGACCCTACAGAAATTTCCCCAGAATTCCCTAGTCCCTAGTCGAACATCTAGTGCACTGCCTAAGTTTGGCACTTAGGCAGGATGTTGTCCTGAGAGACTTCAGACATTGATTCAGGACCATCAATGAAGCTACGTGGCTCTGTAGGTGTAATGTGACAAAGGTATCTACGTCAATGAGGGAGCAATGCCATACAAACTGACTGGTTCAAATCTAGGCATGCCGCATTGAGGCGATCAACAGAAAACCTCTCCTGCCTGTTTGATTGTAGATCCATGTCCACAATCAAATACGTGTCGTCAGCCATTCCAAAGACGTCCAAGATGCACATTTTGGCACAGAATCAAAATCCAGTGCACTGAGGACGATAGGAATGTAAAGGTACTCTTCGGATAGCAGAGTAGAGATGTTGAATGACATGGGGACTGGTGAGAAAACTTTAGCTTTATCAAAGAAAGTTGCCTGCTATGCAACAGGTGATCATCAGAATATCATGACAGGAAGCAAAGTCCCTGCAGCGGTTGGCCATAAACCAGACATTGATTCTAGTGACAATAACTGTAGGTCTTCCATAGCTGAAGTTTGCAGTCCAAGCATTAGATATGGAAGCTTGTTGAGTCAACTATCGTCCTTCAGACTAGCTGTCTTAATTGGTATGTGAACAATACATTTTGGCATACCATCACAGTTGAAACACAGTTCACTTCTGAATTGTGGAACGCCATCACCGAGAATCTAGTGGTTAGGTTTCATAGGCCATTGCTTATCAACCTCAGGCTAATGGACTGTGAGAGATTTCTCAGTTCCATTAAGGCACACACACACCACCTCTGCTGTCAATGTTGATGACATTGGGATGTCTCCAAGCCACTTGGTTTGTCATGCAATGCATCATATTTGACTCCATGCAATTTGGACTCTGCCTCTAAATTAGCCTTGCCTTCAACATGTAAAATGTCCACAGTGAACTTTGAAGTACAGGAGAATTGTCTCCAATGTAATTTCTTTTGCCAGGGAGGAGTTGGCAACTAAAGAAAGCTAGCAGTTCCCAGGTGTTGTCCACTCATTACTAACAGACTGCTTCCATGTCATACTCAGAACCGTCAGAGTAGATTGAAATGGGAGCATTGGCTAACCGGATGAGTCAGTAGTGCTAAGTTAACTAAAGCAGCCATGGTATCCACCAAAGTCCTGTCTCATTCTTCAGACAGATGACCCAATAGGGTCACAGGATGTTTTGGATATTTGCTTTTTCTTCAGTTCTAATATTCTGAGGTGAAACAAATGATAAGTCTTCTTGCAGAAGAGCAAACACAAGCCCAACACTGTTTGCAGGTCAACACACAACTGTGTCATCAACATATAGAATGATAGATGAAGAAAGGCATCAGTAATATTCTGACACACATTATTATTAGACATTGCAAGAAGTGTTGTTCCTAATACAAATCCCAGAGGGATACCTTTTGTGACATTTAGGAAACAGGAAGCAAGGCCAAGACAAACAAAGGCCCACAATGAGTGGGATCACTCTTTTAGCAAAGGGAAAACTGTTTTCCAGATATCAGTCATAGTATCAGTTTGAATTGTGTCATTTTGAAGCTGAAGTGCTGTTTGTTTTTTTTCCAGAGCTGTACACCCTTATAGACAAGGGTCCACAGGATCCTTCACCAAGCAACCAAACCAGGCTGGTGGTCAAAGAGCCCACCCTGCCCATCAATGAGCTCTTGGAGAAAAGCAGCAAGTCTAGTGAGTCCAAGCTAAACTTCCACCCAATGCCATCTGCTGTGTGGCCAAAGCACAGCAACCTGGCCCCGGTCCTCCGTCACCCCGGCCCCAACAACAAGAGCAAAAAGGGGCACAAGAGTGACCGTTTAACAGAGCACAACAGTGAGAAAAACAGGGGGGAAGTTGCTGGTTTGCTTCCCAAAACCCAGCTGACAGGAGCCACGAGCTCTGGCTCCAATCGCACAACACAGAAAGTCAGTCAGGACACCCAGACCCACATCAGCCCTCCTCAGCAGGGTGAGCCGGAGGAACAGCCCAACCCCAAACCCAAGACCCCAGCTCAGACACAAACACCCATCCAGCCGCATCAGACAGCGTCTTCACCTCGCAGAGACTCCCCCAACCGACGGCAGGACCCAGAGGAGAACCGACCTGGGAGGTCCGGCCTCTACCAGTCTGGAATCAGCTCCGCGGCCTGGAACAACAGCCGCCCACCGGTGTTTTTCACCCAGCGTGCGGCTGGGTCCTCCAGCCTGCTCTACCAGTTTGACGTCCTGAGGCGAGGTAGGAAATCTGACCTGTGTGTGCTCCACATATCTTCTAACAGGGTCCCTGAACTAAATCTCCCACATGGGAATATCTTCATCAAAACAATTCCACTCTTAGAGCATTTATGGTTGAATATTCCGATACATATTGGAAGTTTCCGGCTATAAACATAAGAAAAAAACAGACAAATGAGACGTTTTAGAGGCAACATTTTTAAATGACAAAACACAGTAAGAGTTGGAAGTTCAAAGTCAAAGACTCTTCCTCTCTTAAAAAGTCCACTGCGTTAGTGAGTAAATATGCATTAATAGTTACAGCAGTCATGAGTCTTCCCTGCTATCTTGAGAAAGCAGCACAGACTCTTCTCAAACTTTTCTCTCAAGCTGCCTTTTTCTTCTCCACAGAGTCCGACTACACACACGACGCCTTCTGCATGAGCGAGTGCAGGAAGGAGAAGGATGAGAGGGAATATTACTGCTACAGCGAGTTTGGTATGTTTTACAAAGACACATAGAAGAAATGTAACCATATTTAGAATGCGTTTTTTTATTTCCTTGATGTTTCTCAGCAATTTAAAACAGTTTTAAATGTTGTACCACACTTGTTTTGTTTGTTTGCTTTGCGTGAATTACGTTCAACCCATGTACATAGATGTGCAAAGACGTATTCATCCTCACACGTTTCTTCTGATTTTGTGTTTTTGTCAAGCTTCGTTGTTTCAGATCATCAAAGCAATTTTAAAATCAAAGATAACCTGAGTAAATACACAAAGTTGAGTTTTTCAAGTGACAGCTTAATTTAGTAATCGGAAAAAAAAAAACAACTGTTTGGTTCTATGGGAAAAAGTAATTTCCCCCAGAAGTCTTAACAGCAATCAAACATTTCCGAGTGAACAAGTCACAAGGTTCTTACCCCGATGTGCAGGAAACGGGGTCGACTTTTCTCGCAGAATTGTTTTTATTCAGTCGTATTTACACATGAAAGGGCCCCTTTAAGATTGTTTCACAGCATTTCGATCTGATATAAGACTACACTTTGAATGGGCCACTCCTAAGTCTTAGTTTTTCTGAGCCCTTGAGAGTTGGACCTGCTGATGTGCAGTAGGGTATTAAACAGCAGACTACCGTCCTGCTGGCTAACCCAAGAGGGTTGGAGTGTATCGAGGTCCTGGAGCACACTACCATTTCCATGATGGCATAATGTTCTTTTTCATTATGCTGTTACTTTTACACCAGATGCCTTAGCAATCACATGTGTTTTTGTTTTGTTTTGTTTGGAGGGGGCATGTGAGACAGACTTTTGGGTTACTTTTTGTTAGCAGCGGTTTTCACATTGGAACTCTTCAATGGAAGCCATTTTTGCTCAATCTGAATCTTTTATTGTTGAATTATGAACTCTGGTCCTGACTAAAGGAAGTGCAGCCTGCAGTGCTTTTCTTGTTATTTTATTTTTTTACCTCATGGAAGAATCTCAGACAATCTCTTGGATAAGTTTTGGTTGGTCAACCATGGTACTTGATTCTGACAGGCAGTTTTTCTTAAAACGATTTACTGTGGTGTGAGTTGTAAAATTAAACTCGACATTCCAGAGATCATTTTCACATAGCGCCTTGTTGCTTTGGATAGTTTCTTTTTTTTAATTTTTTTTTACAATTAATAAATAAAACAGGATTTCAGACTGCTTTTCGTGGTTTCAAATGAAAAGACGAAGAGGGGTAACTAAAGATTATTTTCTAGAAGGAACACTACTTAAATCCTAAATTCAGTGTATCGAAATAAATAAAACTTGAAAATCAAAGAATTTTTTTTTCTTTTGCCAGATCTGGTTTGTTTCGCCTTGACTCATGTCATTACAGTAATCTAAACTAACCAGCTTCACAGACGTTAAAAATGTGAGGTTTCCTCTTGGTGTATGACTCCTTTTCCAATCATGATTCAATGCATCTTACACTATCCTGGACACCAAAATGCCGTTTTCAAATCGTCTAACCAACCGTCTTTCATCTGCTGAACAGCTGTCAATGGGATTGTCCACGACATCGATGTTTTGAAGAAAGGAGTCAGACTGATCACGTTGATGGTGAGCGCTGACGGCTTCTACAAGATGAGTCGTCTCTATGTGACCCCAGACAGCTTCTTCTTCAAGGTTCGCCTCCTGGTCTTGGACACCTTCAAGTGCAGTAAGCCCTGCCCTGATATCAAGCTTGGTGAGTTCAAAAAATTTGCTTCTGAGCTGAGCGGGAAAAAAATGTGTCTCACATTTGTATTCGATGCGGAACACAGAATTGTTTTTTTGTTTAGTTGTTTTTTTTTTGTTTGTTTTTTTTTGCTGTGATTATGGATTTTGGTGTGTGTTTCTACTAGATCTTGGCCATTCTTCATTGAAAACATGGGATGTAGATCTCAACTCAACCTGCCATCTGCTTTGTCCCACAGGGGCCAGATACATTGTAATGGGTCAGATCTACCACCGGAGGCGCCACCTTCCCAGTGACCTCCTGACCCTGCTGGCTGGCAAACTAAAGCCTGGGGATGGCCTCCTGCGCAGCAGCAACTACGTCAAAAGGTTCAACAAACGGAGACACCAGAAAGCTCTGGAGGCCGTCCGCTCCAGGTGTAGGTGAACCACTGACGAGAATATCGCCCCCTGCTGCAGGGGAAGAGACTTCGCAGCCGATCTTACCCAACCCTATGGCACTGTGCAAGAGGGGAGGATGTGCAGCGGATGTGGATGTGCTCTCATATGGACCGCTACCATGTATCATCATATCGGCTTTATCTATGAAGTTCCCAAAGAACTGAACTGAACTGGGGCCTCTTTGATGCAAGCGGGACGCAGTGAAGTACTTTCTGAGGTGTATGCAGACACATTATAGGCACCCACTGGGGGGGTTTCAATGCACAAACAGAAAATACCGACTAGAAATAATTATTCTGCCATTGTTTTGGCGCCCAATCTAGCGTGGCGCCCGCATTTTAATACACACCCACTTTTTTTCTCCAATGGATACAAGCAACTTTGACTAACTGGACTCCTCCTCTTGCTGGTTTGGGACTCAAGCATTCCTCTCTCACGCTGTCTCCTGAGCTCAACTCGAATTAAACTCTTCAACGTTCATAGCTGGTAAATGAAGTACCAGACCTGAACAAGTATCACTTTTCTGAGGAGACACGAAGCTGCTCCAAAGTGTGGGACAAATGGCTTGTTTGTTGAATCTGCTTCCAAATTTGGCACTGGGAAAAGATTCCGTCTGTTTTCCACAATAATTAACACAGCATGTGATGTTGGGACGGTTTAATAATGCTTCAATTTCCTAGACATTAAATCCAGATAGCAAGGTTTAAAAATTGTTGTAAATTTTCGGAATATCATTTTTTCTGTCGTTATTACTCTTTTCATAACAGTTGCCATGACTTCAAAGAATTGTACTGCGACTTTAAAAAACGGGTCAGTAGATGGCTGGATGGGAGGAAGCTGCGGTCAAATAAGAGGCAACAAATCATAGCGGAGAGTGAAGAGGAGTATTCAGATGGCGGGAAATGAGGAACGTCAGCTGGCTCTGAGAGAGGTTCTGCTTTCTTTAACTTTAATTATATGTCCACAATGATAAATAGGCTCAACATCAAAAAGGTGGAGGTGGTGGGTTCCAAACACAGCGACGAGGAGGAGTCGTGGGTCTCGCTGGGACCATGCCATGAATCTAATCGCAGGAATCCGATCCTCCACACACCTGGGCGCTCAAAGAAGCGCCTTCATTGCGGCTTATTTTCCGAGATGCTGAATCTGCTCGGGAGGCCGATGCTCAGAGGGGGGATATTTGAGAAATGTAGAGGGAGCAGCACGGTGAGAGCGGGTGTAAAATGTATAACCAAGAGAGCCTGAGCAGCGTCGGGTTTGTCGAATTGGCTTGTGATGCAATTTCACTTAAACTCTTGCTCTGTCTTTCTAAACTTAGCCTGAATGAAAACCATGTGCTTTCTAGGTGAGAAACATGGCGACGGCGCCGGAGGAAAGCGCGCGACTCATACAGAGGCTGTGGTCTTCGACTCGGCCGTCACAGGTTCGAGTCCCGGCCCTCACCCACAATCCGCTTTCCTGTCTGACTGCTGTCAAATAAAGGCCACTAGAACTGGGGGGAACAACTTTTAAATATATATATTATTATTCGCATGATTACGTGAAACTTTGTTATTCCCAGAAGAAGCGCCGTCCCTCTGAACAGGTCGCAGAAATTAAAGTTTAACAGCCAAATTCTGCTGCGTTTACCCTCTCCTCCTCCTCCTCCTCCTCCTCTCGTTCCTCGCCCCCCGCACGTCCGTCATCTCTGGTCAGTTCCCAGGCTCCACGCAGCCTCTATCAGCGATCAGTGCTGGAGGGAACAGGCGCATGTGGTGGGCAGGAAACGGGAGCCTGATCCACACTGTGGCCACTATCGCAGCGGGAGGACATTCCTCATCACGGAGCATGTGAAGGAGGGGTGTGGGGCGGGTAGGTGGGAATATCTGGTAGATGCTTCCTGTGTGAAGACTGCGCAAAAAAAAAAAAAAAAAGAATAACTGTGGGCTTGTGGTCATCTGTGGTGCTCCCGGCGTCCATGAGAGCCTCTGGATCCATTTAGTGGTTTGAGTGGAGGAGATAAAGAGGTGGAGGTCAGGGAGAGGAGAGGGAGCAATGGGAGTCGGTGATGGCTGGATGTGTCATTTAGGATAACTTCATCACAGGAATGGTTGTAAACAGGTCGTGACCTCATCGTCCCCGGGGGCCCACTTCTCCGTTTGCACCACGGATGACTTAAGAAGAGGTTGAATCAGACACACACACACGCACACACAAACAGGCCTCGGACCTTCTGGTACAGTGGCCGACAAAAGTACTCACACCGCTTGAATCTTTCCCCCATTTTGTCATGTTACAACTTTATTTAACTTTATTGAGCTTTTTGTTGTCCAGGATTTTATGTAATATACCAGTATAGAATTGTGAAGTTGTGGGAATATGATATGGTTTTTGCTAACTTTTTACTAATAAAAGTCTGAAAAGATCTTTCATTTAACGTGTCTTACTATGAAACTCCTAACTTAGTAAATTAGTATGGTATTATCCGGAAACTAGCAGCTCACATTTCCTTGAATATACCCTCCACACTCTGATACATGGCAGTGGCAGCATGGTCCTGTGGGGATAACATCCTTCAGCTGGGGCAAGCTGCTGAGACTTCCTAAATAGTGAAGTCAGAAAATGGGCTAGGTTTCCTGAATTGAATTAGAAACTGAGCTAGACTGTAGTGTTTTAGTGTTTCATAGGATGATCGACTTGGAATCATTAGCATTGAATATGTTTGTTGTACTGGACATATATATATATATATATATATATATATATATATATATATATATATATATATATATATATATATATATATATATATATATATATGCAATGTCTTAAGATGGCATTTGTTGTTGATTTATGCTTATCTGTATAAGTCCCAAAACTATTCCAAAACCGTGGCAAATTTAAATATTTTTTTAGTCAAGCTTATTTGTACTGCGCATTTCATCAACAAGGCACTTCAAAGTGCTTTACATCATAACAATAGTTACCAATTATGAAACAAGCAAACACCACATTTTGTCTAATGCAGTGTTTCTCAACCCTGGTCCTCACCGCCCCCCTGTCCTGCATGTTTTAGGTGTTTCCCTTCTGCCACACACCTGAATTGTATCTCTGGGTGATTAACAGGCTTCTGCAGCACTTGATGGTCATGCAATCATTTGAATCAGCTGTTCTGGAACAGAGGTACATCTAAAACATGCAGAGCAGGGGGGGCGGTGCGGACCAGGGTTGAGAAACACTGGTCTATCATCAGAATGCACATCAATTATAAGGATCAATGTCCCACTTACCAATCAAATGAAGCTCTACACAGATACTTAACCTTGATTTAAAGGAAGTCATCGTTTTGGCTGTTTTGCAGTTTTCTGGAAGTTTCTTCCAGATTACTAGAGCACAAAAACCGATTCCTGCTTCTACATGTTTGGTTCTTCAGGTGATAAAAGCCAGAATTTATAATGACCTTTATGTGGCTCTGAAGGTTCAGGTCTGAGTCCATCACTACACCCAGATTTCGGGCCTGATCTCTAGTTTCTGGCTGTAATAACAACCTGTGGAATTGACTTTTACTCCATCAGGACATTTATTTATGTGATGAAATTTGATTATAATAAAATAAATATTAAAAAAAAAAACCCACCAGAAATCATCAATGTCTTGGTTTTACGCGATATTCCAATTTTCTTGATGAACTAAATTTTGGATTTTCGTTAGCCTGAAGTTATATCTACCCCAAAGACCAACAATAAATGGTATCCGGCTCTGTGTGCAATCAACCTGACTTTCATTTTAACTTTTTTTTTCTACAAAGAAATTTCAAAGCATGTTTTGCATACTTACACACAAAAAAGACAGAAACATCTCCAAAAAAGTTGACTTTATTATTATCCAGGATGAAATGTCCTATCAAGTACAAAAGAGAGTCTCTTCAGAGTGGCCAGTCTGTTAAAAACATAGAGTGCTTTTTATCTGCAGTTACGTTTCCTCGAGATACTACTTTTTTTTCTTTTTTTAAAAAATGGATAACTTTTTCCATCAGTCTGAATAAATAAAACAAGAAATGCAACGTCAATATAGAAGTTATGCCGACTTTTTGTTTTACAAAAAAGAAGAAGAAAAAAAAAATCTGTACAAGTCATCGTGCCACTCGACCGGATCAGAACCGATATGCTCACAATGTGCAGCACTTCTTATATAAAGGGCAATTTTACGTTAAGAACAGAGTCCACTTCAAATAAAAGAGGAAAAAAAATAGTTTAAATTTACAGGAGGACTTGGTTGCTGGTTCAAATAGTCAAAAATAAAAGTTCTACTGCTCTAAAAATCTTTTCTCTCTACATATTTAGACAGCAATAATATACAATAGAGATTACAAACAGAAAATAAAGCACGTCATCATCTTATAACAAAGTAACAAACATTCGGTTGAAAGACAAAGAGAAGGAGACAGAAGCTACATCATCTCTCAACTCTACTTCCACACAGAAAAAAACAACAACCTCAGGGTTCAAAACAGAGAGACAAAAGTTTCCATCATTCTCTAAGACATCTAAATCGAAAGACATCACTGCTCCCCAACTTTCCTCTCTGAATCAAAAACGGACGAATCACACACACACACACACAGAAAAAAAGTTCCCAGATATGCTTGAAAAAAACGCAGCTATAAAATTTTCATACAAAGACTCCACAGTCGGTCGTCGTTTGAGGTTTGACTCCCAGTCACGCTGCCACAGACCGCGACATAACTGAGCTGATGCTGAGTGGGGAAGTTCATTATCCAATTACTTTAACCAGACACACACGCACACATGCGCACACACACACACACACAGAGCGAGTTGAGAGATGCATGTGAGCCAACCTGTCAGCTTCAGACACACAGCTTTGATGAGACTCTATAATGGAGGGAGCTACAGTACTTTCAGCCTTTCCACACAATTCATTTTCTCTAAATGGCCTCCTCCTTTCAAACACAGACAGTTTTTTGACTTGCATTTCAGAGCATCGCATGGAAAAAGATAAAAAAAGAAGAAAAAAAGAGGCCGGATGCGGTGGGTGGGATGATCTGTCCGGTGTTGTTTCCCTCTGGACAGTAACATGAAAGCATTTCAGCCTTCTGACAAAACACACACTCCGTCTATCAGACTGCTCTGATAGGGGCTGTGCTGTCAAACATTTGCATCGGGTTCATGCTCGATGCAAACCTACACACCTGTGCAAACGTTAAACTAAAACACTTGAAGAAATAACAGCGTATAATCCCGTGTAGTTGCCTTGCAACAGTATTTATACCCCCTTTTTTCAGCTTTTGTCACATTACAACCAAACCTCAGTGTTTCATCTGGATTTCTTTCAACAGACCAACTTGATAATTGTCATGCCCCATTTTATTTATTTATTTTTTTACCCAACTTACTTTGGGCCTCTCTCAAAATGGTTCATGAAAACGCTGTGTGTGGAGAAAAAGAACAAAATAACTGCATACACCCTGAACTAGGGCTCGACAATGTGGCTTAAAAATTAAATCTAATTTTTCTTTTTAATACCAAATTCAATTTTGATCAAATTTTTTCCATCTCGTGGTCTTTGACGCAGCGCTCAGGATGAGAGCAGCAAATGTCACGGTCGCATAGCGAGGAGCCGGGTGGGTTGTTCCGTCAGACTGTCAGTTCCGGAAACCACACTGACGGTTTTCACAAAAAAAAAAAAAAACAAAAAATGTAAAGGCCTACATGGGGTCAGTGTGACCCCGCCAGACAGAGTAAATGACCCCATATCTTAAAGCTGCAGGTGAATTAACATTTTCTTTTACAAATGACTGAAATAAAACAGTTTTCTTCAGATATTTTCTAAACTCAATTTGTGAGATGACCTGAATTCAAAGTCCAAGTAAATAGAATCTGTAAAACAGGTTGGTAAAAAAGAGATTGTAGTTCTTGGGTGGGCTTATGTCACTCTGGGAACTCAAGGACTGCATAGTTAGAATAATAAAAAAAAAATCCCAAAATTAAATCTTCAAAAACGGAAACTTTCAGTTAAATGATAAAATCCGTTGCCCAGCCCTACCATCCATATGACGACACAGTGGCACCATTATGCTGTGTTCTTCATGGATTTCTTTAGCAGCCATAACTTTGTTAAAAAAGAACTGCAGAAAACTTTAGAGTGTTAAAGTTCACCTTGAGGGAGAACAAGAACTCTTAACACACAGCTAAATGTGCTAGAACGGCCTAGTCAAAGTCTAGACCTAAAACCAACTGAAAATCTGCAGGAAAACATGAAAACTCATTCACAGACAATTTTCATCCAATATAACAAAGCTGGACCTATTTTGCAAAGACAAACTGGTAAAACAAAACCTCGAGTTATTCATACTGATGGCATTTCAGATTATTATTTATTTAGCCCAGAAGTTTATTTTTGAGAGAAAATGCAACCAGTATATTTGAAAATGTAAATCAATGAAAAAAAAAATCTATATAAATTTTGTTTTTTTTCACCTTTTATTTGAAAAAAAAAAAAAAAAAGAAAAATAATAATCTTCACAGTTATCAGTGGAGCTCATTTTAATGGAATTAAAAATTGAGACACTTATTATAACTGCTGAACAGGTTTTTGTACGTCTGAAGGTCTTTTGGTGACGAAAACTGCTAAATTACTTCCAGTGAAAATAAACATGTTTGTAAAATGAAACGATGGCTTTAAACTGAAACCTACAAAGCGAGTGAATAACTTTCTCAACAGTTTGGTTTCCCGTCACGACGATGTGCTTCTTTATGTTGACCTGTTGCAAAATCCCAACAGAACACACTGAAGTCCGTAGATGTGATCAAACGCTCAAAAAGGGGGGGAGGAATACTTTTGGTAGGCTCTGCTAAATGAACTTGAGTTAAATGTATCGTGATCCGACACAGTGAACCCATCTGACCGACTTTCAGCGCGTAAAGCTGAATCATCCAGAAGGAATCTGTGAGGTTAGGCGGCCATTCCGCATCCAATTATCTTAATTTCATCCATCATCTTGTCTCCTTCATTCCCATCTTCCTCCTTCTCGTACGCTGGAGGGAGTGACTGGTGTGGATGTATGGTCAGGTGGTGGAGCGACACCGATAGGCGGGGGGGAGGGGTCCGCTGACAACACGTCCTAACCAATCAGAGATGCGACACTGGGATTTTAAGCAGAAGCTAAGATGCAGCTGACTGTAGCTTGTTGTTATGTGACCTGAAGAAACAGGAGGAAGAAAACGGTTGGAAAACTTCTTTTTGTTTTTTTTTATTAAAAGCTTTACAATATATGACAAAATATGACTAGAGTAGGATACAAAAAAACAAAAAAAAAAGTATCGGATGCCAGTGGGTCAGACATTTTGACAGTCCAAGCAGCCATGTTGGTTAAAAGTCACTGAAATGTACGACAAGATGTCTGCCCAACTTATTTATGTACAACTTTTTACGATTTATTTCTAACCCCCTTGCCAAGAACACCGAGCCGAGCTTATTCATCAGAATAGGAACGCTAACCTACACTTTTCTCTGTCCTATCTTTTTTTTTTTTTTTTACACTTTCTATCATTATTTTCATTAGAACATAAAAATAGTCCTTCACAAAAAGATACATTATAAACATAAAATAATACATGAGAACAGCCAATAAAAAGAAACTAGGGGTGCATGCTTTTGTTTTCTTGTTGTTAAATGAGGTAAACATGTTCTGTTGTCGTCAAATTAAAAATATAAATTATACGTCTGATTTCACAACCGAAACCTGAATTTTATTCTTCCAAGCATGAAGTACGAAGAAAGAAAACGAAAGTGAGCTTTGACATTTTTGCCTCGTTTCCAGCAGAACATAATTAAAGAAGAAGAAGAAGAAAAAAAAAAGTCTTCTGGTGTGAGTGTAAAAAAATACATTTTCCTTTGGAGGCTCTTTGCTACCAACATGGCTGCAGCTATTAAACCTTAGAAAAATTCTTACTTTTGCTTTTATTTACTTTAAAATAAGAAAAAAAAACACACCTAATGTGTGGCTTATTATAAGCACTTTTTTTTTAAAACAAAAAACAAAAAAAAAAAGCTTTAATGCCGTTTTAAAAATGTAAAAACAGCAACATCCAGGATAGAAAATTAAAATATTTTGTTTAAGAGTGACCCCGGCACCCAGGAGTCTGACATCACAATCTGCAAAAAAGAGAGAGAAAGAATGGATGGGAGTCAATACATGCGGGTGAAGTACGTCAGCATTCAGAGCACAGAGAAGCTGAATGAAAACTGGCTTGAAAAAAACAAAAATAAAGAGACAAAACCCAAGTGATGTGAATGAAGTGATGGTAGTATCTGCTGCTTTGAGTGGACAGGAGTTAAATGGACCCTCAGATGTGTTAGTGCTCAGCGCGAGAGGAAAACTCTTTTGCAGACACTTAGAAAACGTCCAAATTCTGTCCTGGGTTTTAAGAAAATAATTCAGGACAAAAAACAACAACCCCTAACGGTCACACATTTGATAAAATATCAAACTTATGTATCATATTGGTATCGGCAATACTGATATCGTATCGAAACCAAATATTGTACATCTCCACTGGCACGGTTTTCTTTAGTCAAAGGAGTCGACAGCGAGGTTTGAAAGGCGAAAACTGAGTGTTCATTGATTTGAATCCCACAAAAGAAGAAGAAGGAGGAAATGCAGCATCATTAGAAAGCTAAAGCTGAAGGTTGTTAGGAATAAGTATTAAAAACCTCAGTGAAGCCTTAAAAAAAGAAAGAAGCTAATTGAGTGAAACCCTGTTCTGGGTAAGAGAAAGCAGATGGACTGAGCAGCACAAACACATTATTCCTAAAAACTGAGGTGAGTTTTGGAGAACCGACGCAGAGGGATGTTCTGAGTGGAGCATGCGCCTCCAGTGACGTCATAAACCAGGGGAAAACGAACACATTTAAAGGAAAAGAAAAACAACAAAAGAGACGGTTTGAAGATATCAAGGAGAAGAGGTTTGAGCTAAAATCGTTATTCTTTCTTCTAACTGGTCTAACTCCACCGCCACCATCAGACTTCCTTGCTGCCTCTTCACAGCCCGGCTTCTCCTCACCTGCTGGCTTTGAAGCCTTTGAGCTTCTGGACGAAGAAGTTCTCCAGAACCTCGGCACACTGGTAAAACGGCGAGTCGCTGGGGTTGTAGTACCGGCAGTTGTCGAAGATTTTGGTCATGTCTGCTACGAACTCGGTCAGCTTGACGTAGTCCCGCTTGTGTAACCTCTCCTCCATGGTGGACAGGTCTGAGGGGAAAGTTGAGACACTGAGCGCTCGCGACAGGGAACAGCTGTCATGCCGTAATCGGACGCAGCAGATTGATGGTCAGGTTTCGCAATAGGTCGTGTTATGATTCGAATCCTCCGATTAGGCGGTGGATGAAGAATGCTAAACCTCCGCCAGAGCTGACCTCGAGCGTCTACGGGGCGTCCAGATGAGTCGCTGACATATTACCTATTTATCATTCCTGAGGGGAGCGCCGTTTCTGGAGCAGAGAACGTCAAAACCAAACCGCAGGAATGTTTGAAAACGCAGGAAGTTATCAGAGCTTCCACCGAAAAGATGCTGTCAGTGTTGGGAAGCTTGTTCAATCAATTTACGGAGCGATAAGGAAGGAGAACAGAAAGCAGACGAGGCTTCAGGTAATCTGCTAGAGAAGGGTCCAAACAAACACGTCTAACTTTTTCCCCGACTCCCCCGTTCCATTCAGCTGACCACTGGCAACGTTTCAAAGACCACCTTTTACTTCTCCACCCCCCTCTCCGTCGTATGATTTCATGCTGAACCCCCTCCATAAACTACCAACAGCTTCAGCCGCGGCGGCTACAGCATTGCTTTAATGTTGTATTTGTTTTGAAAGCAGCGGACGGACAGGAGTTTTCCAGGCTGACACATAGCAGAGTTCGGTTCCACGGGGAGGCCGCGGTGGGCCCTGGAGAGACGCTCATTAACAGTCTGTTTGGATGGAAGTAAAAATAAAATAAAATTTAAAAAAAAGCCCACCTCCCTCACCCTCTAAACCTTCTGCCGTTGACGCAAGTCACCGTTTACATGGTCGGTTTGATCTGAGTTGGAGGGCTTCCTTCAGACGGCCGGCGCTCTGAAAGCTGCAGATAGAGAGCGTGGGTGTTGCTCCCAGAGATTACAGTAATTATGGAATAAAAACAGCAGAAACTGCCGCATCAAACAACCTGCTCTCATAAACATGCAGTCAAAATTCGGTGACGGCCGCTGTTCTCTTTCTGTAACACAAATGCACAATGCGTCTGCGAGTAAAAAAAAAAAAAACCCGAGATCGCCGAGTCATACGAAGACAAAATGTGGAAGCAGCTCAAGAATCTTAGGCGTGATGAACGTCTGTTCCCACATTCACGTCATAAAATGCAAGAATTTCATCTATTTTGAAAAGTGGAGGGATTTTTTTTTTTAATTTCTGGAGAAATTCAATACTGACTCATTTGTAAGATTTATTTTGCAGCGGGAAACAGAGCCACTTTAATGACTTTACATACAAACGTATTAAATTAAGCTTAATTGAAGGATTCAATACAATTGCTAATAAATGGTTTTCATTGTCACCTCACTTTGCAGAAGTATTTAAATTGGTTTAATTTATTTTCGCTACAACAATAAACTACCTGTATTGTCCATTTTATTGGTAAATGTGAAGCAGAAGGAAAATTATACATAATTTTCAGTGAAAAAAAAAAGTTTTCTGAGGAGTTTGATGTAGATCTATATTCACTTAGTAGTGCACTGATGACAGTTTTTAGCTGACAACGATCTTTAAAAAGCATAACTTGCCAATTTTGATTTTGGCCGATGCCAATTTGGGCTTAAACCGAAAAAGACATGTTGAGTAATTTCAATTAAGCAGCACAAAACGATGTTAATCTGGACCAAATTTCCAACACTCACCCATTGGTTCCTTGATGACCTTGTAATAATCAGGGGCGTCATTAGTATCTACTGGTTCCAGGAAGGGCCAAGCCATTTTATGTGCCTGCAGAGGAACAGAGACAAAAAAAAACGAAGAGGGGAAGATGCTTGAGAAAGCTGAAACCAAAGAATAACAAACAGCTCCGCGAAAATTACACTGAAAGCAGGTGGGTCAACACAGATGTTCTACTCCAGCCTCTCTCTCTTCACACAGAGACAAAAAGGAGGAGAGACGGGGGGGAAAGGGACGTTCGACGAGAAGAAACAAAAACACAGAGGCTTGGCTCATGTCCAAATAGGAGAGGCCGACCCACCAGATGAGATGGACACTGAGGACTTTTGTTTTCTGCTCTGGGGGCTTCGAGGAGCTGTCAGTGTTGGCCAGCTGATCGTTAAACTGCAGCTGATGTGTTTGTGCGTTGCTAATGTGGAGTAAATCTACTTCACTCCACATGAATGGTCTGGACTACATCCAGACCATTCACCGACACCGGGCAGCAACTCTGCTCACCTGTAAGGAGCGCAGTATCCGTCGCAGGCCTTCGTAGTCCTTGTCGGTGAGCGGGGTGAAGACCGTCATGGCGTCCTCGGTGGACTGACACTGCGGACAGACGTACTCGTCGATGTGGTTGGCCTCGCTCTGCAGGATGCCCACACAGCGACCGTGGTACCAGTTCTGACATCGGTCGCAGCCGATGTAGAACCTGGGAAGGTAAAGAACAAAAATAAATGTGGTGCTTAAGACATGTCGTCCTTCACAATTATGCATCACTTTGTGTTAATTTATATATATATGTGTACAAATTCACATTGAAATTTGTGGTTGTAACACAAGAAAACATGGAAAAGTTCAAAAGGTGTGAATACTTTTGTGAGGTACCATCTATTATGACGTTATTAAAGTAAATAAGATGAGAATGTTTTAGAGTGTAAACTTAATGTTTAAACTCTTTCCTAAATGACATGCATGCAGGGCTGAAACGATTAACTGGATTGATGGTGATTAATTGACTAAATCAACTAATTTATCGATTAATCATTAACTCAAGTAAACAGACTCAAAAACTGGTAATTTGCTGAAAAAAAAAAACAATATTCAGAGCAGTAATTATATCAAAACCATACATAATAAATATAATGTATTTTTGACTGGAAATATGTTTTAGCCAAAAGTCAAAGTGTCATAATTTTACCTTCACTTGGTTCAACTTCAATAAAAGAAAGATTTTATTGGCATAGCATTTTAAGCACTAAACTGTTTATTGTTTTATTCAAAATAGGAAATTTGTTTGTGTATTTGCATCTATTAATGTATTTCTACAATTGTGTAAAAAGGTCTAAGTGGTTGAATGAAAAATCGTCAGAAAACGGCCATAAAAAAAAAGTCTGATTAAAACGATTAATTATCAGAATGACTGATTAATCGACAGAGTGATCGATTAATCGCCAAAAATGTTTGATCAATCGTCAGGATAATAGGTTCTTTAAACAATCAGTAGTTGCTGCCATACATGTATATTTCTTCTGGTTGGTTATTTTCAAATACCAACCAGGTTTTGGTACCAAATACCAAAACCTGAGTCAACAGATGGCTCATGTTGACACACACACATGCACGCGCGTGCGTATGTATGCACACACACACTCCTCCTTACTGGGACTCATCGTAAGGCGTCTGACAGATGCAGTACAGCTCCTCTGTGCTGCTCTCTTGGCCCCGTTTACACTCCACGCAGATGTAGTCGTCCATCTTTTTGGCCTCCTTCTCCGTGATGCCCACACAGTCACCGTGATACCAGTTGGTGCAAAGGTCACAGCCGATGTAAAACCTGTGGAGAGAGGGGAGAATAATGATTTTAGAGTGCTCCTCTAAAATATTTGCAGATTTAAAAGCTAACTACGTCTAAATCACAAGGCTGAAATCGTAAAGTAAGGTTGCAATTTGTAGCAAATAGATCTAATGCCGCGTACATGTTTATAATGTTGTGTTGAAATTAAATTTATTTAATCCTCACATCAGTACTTTATTACTTCAACTCAGTACAGTCACTAAATATTCAATAGGGCTGGATGATATTCCTTAAAAATAAACTTTTTCAAACCAGATTGGATTTCCCATTTTAATCCATTTTAGGTTAGTATTAGGGCTACGGTACGAGAACTTTTGTTTAAGAGACAACAATCCAAATATTAACAGGATAAAGATGCAATTCTAACAAAACAAAGTCTTAAAATTAAGAGAAAAAAGTTGCTTTGAGAAAAAAGCTTCTAGTATAATGAAAATCTGACAGGACCAGCTCAGTTCATGTCGTTCTTACTTTGAAAAGGACTCAGACATTTGTTCAATAATTTTAAAGTCCTGCCAATGATAATAGTTTGATGCCAATGTCTTAAATGACAATAAATCTCAGTCTGGCCGTAGAGCTGACCTGAACTCAAAGCCCAAATGAATAGAAGGTTTAAAACATGCTTGAAAAACATGCTTGTCAAGATCTCAATAATTGATGAGATCTCATCAATAATCGATGAGATCTCATCGATTATTGATGAGATTTTATCGATCTCATCAATAATCGATAAAGTCGATTATTGAGCCCCAATATTTGATAAATCCTTGCATACTTGGTCTCGTCGTAGGGCGTCTTGCAGATGCAGTAGAGCTTCGTATCCTTCTTGCTCTCCTTTGTGCTTGTAGTCGAGATCATTTTCTTCTTCTTGGACTTTGCCGCCGACACCATCTCCCTCTCCTCCTCCCGTTTCCTCTTGTGCGTTGAGGCAACGGCGGTGGCGAGGTGGTGCTGGGAGGAGACGCCGTGCTTGTGAGCTGCAGCTTGCTGCTTCTGACTGTGGGCGGCGGCTGCTGCGGCGGCCTGGGCCGCCTGTTGGGCCGCAGCCTGAGCCTTTTCCTTCTCTTTCCGAATCCGCAGCAGATCCCTCTTTAGCTCCTCCTGACGATTCCAAGGCAGGGAAATATGGAGTTTAAAAATCAGGCCCATTTCTGTTGAATTCGAAACGCTTTTTGTCGCCGGAGCTCTTGGGCACTTCGACGCTTACCTGAGCCTCCAGCTGCAGCTCCTTGTCGAGAAGCGCTCGTTTTTTCAGGATCTCCATCTTGAGGCTCTCCTTGTGTCGGTAAAGGAGCGCGGAAAGCTTACTAGCGTTAGCCATCCTCCTCTTGGCCTCCACAACCTCTTCCTTCTTCTTCCTCTTAGCTGCCTGTCTTTCATCTTTGTCAATCCGGTCCAGAATGAACTTCATCACCTGGTTGCAAACAATCATCCTGATACAGATGGAAGAAAAATAACAGAGAGAGAGAATTGACTTGTGACAAATGTGATGCTAAAAGTCAGAATGTCCAACAGAAAGGAAATTTAAAAGATCTTTTAATTTGTCTCTGCTGAAGCCATTAAATCAAACTTAATAGTAAAATCATTCTCAAATCAATGTTACATCTCCAGATCTATGGTCAGTGTTAAATATTTATGAGGGCCCCAGAAGGTTTGGGGTCCCTAAGCAGGTTCTGAGTCCTGGCTTATTGCTTAATTAGCCAAAAAAAATAACATTTATTTTACTTGTATTTATTTGTTTTAAGACTACATCAGTGTGCTTAAGGATTGTCAACAATGTTTTCCAATGACATAATTACCTAGTCGTATTATTACATTTCCTGTCTACTTTTAAAGGGGCGGTGTTCTGTCTTCCAGCCACATGGTGCCACTCTTAAACACAATCAAGTAACTGTTATCTCTAGTTGTTTCTAAAATGATATAGTTTGTAACGCCTTGAAATTGGACCTCTGTCTCTTTAAGAATGTTCTGCTCTTTCTGAAACTCCGCCTTCAGTAAGTCATCACAACATGGCTCCTCTACCAACCTTTAGCAATGTTTTTACCAGCGATTCTCTGAGAAGTAACTCGAATAATGAGCTCAGCTGATGTGCAGTTCCACCAGGTGTTTGCTAATTGGTGCTGGCTAGTCTGAAGGAGCTGAGTGTGACAATGGAGGCGGCAGAAACTCTTACAGGGGGGCTATGTCCAACCAGCCACAACTGAATGGTTGCCATGACGAAAGGATTTCTCAAACATGCATGAAAGAATCAAAGCGACACTCCAGGCATGTTTTTGATGAGGGATTACACTACAGCATGATCTAAAGCTCAAATTCTGCCCCTTCAACGTTTTTTAACACAAAACTACAGTGAGCTACAAATTTGCTGGTAACAACTGTGACTTTCTGTTTCAGGGTTAGGTTCTTTCTAAACATGTTTAAATGAGACTGACAGCTTCAACAATAAGAGTGCAGGCCTGCCTAAAGGGTAATAGTGAAACAGAAAAAGAAGAAAAAACAAACAGGCTGTTTAAGTTTTTCTTATCTTCAAAGAGCCGCAAGTTTAAAAATATAACATTCAATAAATTTTAAAGAAAGAAAGAAGGTCACGTGCAGGGCTACAAGGCTCATGGTGATTGATGCTTCTAATTAAATTGTTCAAACAAATATTAGTGATGAATAAGACAGAAATAAAGATCCACAGATAAAGTCTGCACTGTGTCATCTATGGCCCTCAGTGTGTTCACTCGTGTTTGCTAATGTTCGCGACCGAGATCGAAAGTCTGCGCCTCGTTCAGCGTGGCATCTGTGTGAAAAACACACCAACGCATACATGGCTGCCAGGGTCAGAGGTAGGCCGGCGTTGCTACGGCGAGCACATGGAGGCGAACGAACAAATGCGGGCAGGCATGTAGAAGAAGCTAGACAGAAGTGTTTGAGATTGAGAGGTAGTCTGGATTTGATGTTTCAGGTGTGTGTGAATGGGCAGTGTTGACACAATGTCTGCAGACATAAACGTATGGTTGTCAAGGTGAAATATTGGTCAGAGTTCAATCTCTAGGCAGGATGAAGTCAGTAAAAAAAAGCAACAAAGAGTTGTTTTTCGGGGTACATCTCTGAAGGGGCTGGAATTTTATTTTTTATTTTTTTGCGTGTGATTCTTATTATTAATAACTGAAGTTGCATTTTGTTCTCTGGTTTAGGATCACTGGAAGAACATACTGTTATTATAATTTAATGTTATGAAGTCTCAGAGGGGAAACTAGCACAGAAAACCTATGACAATACCAGAATAGCTTAAAACACAAACATGGATGAAATTTCAAGGAAAAACTGATTTTTTTTCTTCTCCCCCCAGATGGTTGACACATAATTTCTGTGTTGGTATAAGAATTGAATCCAAAAGCTGCTGCTACCAACCGGAGAGCTGACTCACATTCCCAACGGGCCGCAACATAAACCTCTAACCTCCCCAAACGAAACCTTACTTACTAAATAAATCTCTTCACAGATGAAAACACAGAACGAACACTGGACACACACACACCTCTGATTTTCTTCTCGTTCTGCAGGTGTCATGGTCTTCTTCTGCTTAAGGTGCTCGATCACAGCGTTTTGTTTCATGACCACCTGAAAAACACGTTGAACGACGTCAGCACAAACCATCTGCATGAGCAAGTATCACGCACCATGAATCGCCACTGAAAAGGACAGATATGCATCAATATTAAACATAAACAGGCTGCACTGAATGTAAAACACATTATTTACATACTGTGTACAGGGTTTCTGCAGGTTCCACCAACTTAAAGCTAAAGTCCTTTTTTAAGACCATTATGGACGAAATTTAAAATGTGTACTGCCAACATTTGAAGACATGAATTACTATTCATTTTATCTGGTGAATTCAGAGATGATGCTTTCAGTAAATAAAGTCAAGCTCTCTCAATATTTCATCTGCCATTGCAGAGAGAGATGGGGAGAGAGAGAAAAAAGGCAACAGGCTCTAAAGCGATTCTGATGCTCGATATGAAGCGTCCAACTTGATTCACTGACGTGTGAAAAGTTTGGGCTCAGCGTCACTGGTAGTTTTGGGACAGCTGGGCTCTCTAAACAGAGGCAGTAAAGTAAACACCATCTCAGAGGAGTTGTGGGTCGTGACTGTTTTTAAGGACACTGACTGGGCGAAGACTTGGCTTCGGCAGCTTCCCTCCACAAACGCACCTGCTTCTGTATAATGTCGCTCTGGTTGGCCGCATTCAGGGCGAGCTCCCTCTTGGCGTCTGCCGCCTGCCTCTTCTTCTGCTGCTGCTGCTCTCGGAGCTGCTGGATTCTCTGCAGCTGCTCTTGGACTGACGCCGTCTGGATGGTCACCACATTTCCAATCTGGGCAGAAATCAGTTTGTGTTTGAACTGAGCCGCATCTCAAATCAGCTTAGTTTCCATGCCGACAGGTGAACCATAGTGTGGTGTGGTTGGGTCCCGTACCTGTCCTCCCTGGGCTGAGGTGGTCCCGCTCTGCTGTATCTGGATGGGAAGCTGCAGCTTGATGTGTTGAGGCAGAGAGGCTCCCCCCTGCTGGGCCTGGAGCTGTGCCAGAACCTAAAGATGACAAATGTCCACATGGTCAATGAAACGTCCTCTAAAACCCTGAACTACTCCTGTCCCTTCAACTTGCCCAGTTTGTGGCATTTTATTGGGCTTTTTATTTATTTGGTAATTAGTAGTACAGTTATTGGAAGGCGGAAGGAAAAGGATTTTTCTAAATTATGTACAAATAAAAATATTAGGTGTGTATTTGTATGTTTAAAACATTTTGCTCCACTTTCCAGTTATGCTCCATAACATAAGTTCACCCGAAAAGCTCATCGACGAGTTTTATGACGAGATGTGAAAAAATTTGAATGTCAGCTGTTCTGTATTTTACTAAAAAATAAGAAAAGCAAAAAATTAAATAAAACAAGCCCCCCCCAAAATAAAAAAAAAAAAACACGCCTGTACCTGCTGTGGGAGTCCGGACACACTGATGAGCTGGGGCGTCTGCTGCAGCTGGAGTTGTGCGGTTCCCCCCTGACCTTTGACCTGCAGTGAAGTTGGGGACTGGACAGGCATGTGGGCCTGGGTCTGCGGGGGTAACTGGCCCTGATGGGTTGTGGACGAAGCGCTGCCGGCAGTGGTGGAGAGAGGGGTCGCCCCGACTTGGATCGGAGCGGCAGCCTGCTGCGCGGCTTGGGTTGCGGTTTTGCTCGCCGTGGAGTTGGGCTGGCTGGGAGACGAAGTGGCTGGAAAGCAAAGAAACGGAGCGCGAGAATACAAGACGCCGGGATAAACCGAGTCATCTTACGCCTTTTGAGTTGCGCCGCTGTCAAACCTGTGCTTGACGTGGGCGTGGCGGCGGAGGGCAGCGGGGTGAAGAGGAAGCGCTGCACCTGGCCGTTCGGCAGGGCTGCTTGCATGAGTTGCTGGCCAGGTCCTGGAATGACGGTGACCCCCTGGGGAATGACCTGCAGCTGGCCGGTGGTCTGACCCTGGCCCTGAACCATCACAGTCAGGGCCTGTGAACCACCAACGCCAGCTGGTCGCTCCAAACCGGATCCAGCTTGTTGCTTCTGCGGTTAACAAAGATCAAATAACTGTGCATTACAAAACTATTGAGGTAAGATTAAGAGCTTTGACTAAGATTGGTTCCACTTAGTCTGTCTAACTCATCAATATTGTGCTTAACTGACCAAAAAAAAACAATAAAAAAAAACAAAAAACAAAAAAAATCAATATTTACAGTGTAGTGATGTGCAATAGCACAGTTTATATGAACTTCTGGCGACTTCAATGTTATTGTTTCCGAATAACAAAGTCAAACAACCTGTTTTTGGTAGCAAGTTGTCTTTGAGTTTATGAATGAATAAAATGCAGACATCAGTTTGCATTGCTAAGTGAAATCAGCCCAACTACTGAGTTCAGCTACTGGCAAATGATACCGATCAACTGTAAGGTTTTCCCGATCCGATATTAATGTCAGAAATTGGTAAAAAATAAAACATATTATCAGATTATGTCGTCCTGCAACTAAAATCTGAGGTATAAGCACTTCAACAGAAGCAGTCCGCTCCAGCATCTAGTCCACTCCGGCATTTCTATCCTGCACACAGAGCCAACGGTAAATGTAAAAGTTTCTATTGTTGACTGAACGATGAGAGTAATATCACTTGGTCAAGCCTATTCTAACATTACACTCTGTAAAGTAATTAAGAAAAGTGTGATTTGTGATGATGTCATATCAGTTCATTATTTGTATCGGCCAATTCTCAAACATTCAAACATTTTCGTTTCCGGTATCGCAAGCGAAAAAGACGTATTGGGACACTTAGAAACATTGTGTCATTTCTTAGCTACTAGTCTGAAGGCAACCATCTTACTGGTGCTAAAGTAATATTTAATGTGTTAAATTGTACAAACTTTGGTGTTTTTACAGAATAAGCTGAAGAAATGGAATCAATTTGTGTTTTTGCGATATGCAGCTAAAAATACATGCAAAAAAAGTCCAAATTAGGAAAGAGTTTTGCTATTTTGGTTGGCATTTTCAGACAATGGCTTAAATATAAAAATAAGACAAACTGATAAAAAGAAAAAAGTGAATGAATTACTGATTAAGATGTGTAAAAGATAAAAAGAAGTCACCTTCCTTGGGAGAATACTGTAGAAATAGAAAGACTGTTGCCCAATACTGTATGTTTTTCCTCTGTTGACATCATTTAACAGTCATTTCTAGCTGACTAACAGATGCACACACACTCACGCTCACACACACACACTTCTAATGTTAATTTGAGACCAGCAGGCGACACAGGATGCCAACCTGTGTGAGCTGCGTGAGCTGGGCCATGGTGAGTTTAACCTGGCCCTGGCCTGGCGCCCGCGGGGTGCCGGGCGGTGTTTGGCCAGCTGCCTGTCCCGCGGCGCTGGGGCCGGTCACTCCCTGACCTGTTACCGCGGTGACGGCGCCGGCAGCCGATATTGCTGTGGAAACAGGCTGGCCACGGATGATCTGCGTCACTACCTGCTGTCCGCCCTGACCTGGAGGAAAAACAACGAGATGCAATTAGAAACCGGGAGGCAGCCGTGATGTACACAGAGCGGGTCACTGCTCCATCTGTGGTTTCGCTTAATAACACAAAACTCTGCACATTTATTCAAATTAAGGGTTCAGAATGACGTTACCCTGCTGGAGCACAAGGGGCGTGCGGAGAATCGTCTTCCCAACAGCTCCGGACTGCTGGATTGGAGTTCGGATCATCGTCATTCCTGGACGGATCTGACCAGCACCACCTAGAACCTGAAGGGTGTTTATTCCATTAAATATTTTTAATACAGCACCCACTTTTCTAAACGGGGTTCCAACACATTTTTATGTGAGAACTCCACATTGTTCCAGATAAAAACTGACAGAGCTTTAAGTGAACTTGAAATATAAAAACCCAGGCTAGGCCTTAAATACAGAATCTATCAGTACAGCTAAATAAAACTCAATGCTACATAAGCTGCTTTTGTGAAAAGACAACGTACAAATGTTTAATAAATATCTACAATAGGAAATTTGTAGACACTTTAAAAAACCCACCATTTTATTTCTGGTGTTTAGGTTTAAAACTAAGAAAAACCGTAAACAGTTATAGAAAGAGGACTGATAAATTTTCTTCAGTGGGATTTTAATGTTTGTGAAAAAGGATTTAAACAAAAAAAAAAAAAAAAAAAAAAATATATATATATATATATATATATATATATATATATATATATATATATATATATTATATTTGCTATAAATAATGTAAATAAGCAAATTCAAAACATTTTTTTGTGTGTTTTAATGGATGGTGGGGACGAAAACCAGCAACGTGAACGTCTGCTAAATGTTTAAATTTAAAACGGTGTCCAGATAAAAATACAAACAAAAACAAACCCAACAAGAAAAGACAATCCGAGCTGCATTTGGGAGCGATAGCAGCCAGAGTTGTACCTGCTGGTGGGAGCCGGGGGCACCGGGCTTGATGTTGAGGGTGGTCGTGCGGGGCTGGAATGGGGTGAAGGTTTGGGCGCCTCCTGCTGTGCTGGACGGGATGATCCCCAACACTTTCTGTTGAACCACACCTGCAAAGAAAGCCGAGACGGATTACAAAAACTCCTAACGCCTCGAAAACGTCGTTTTAAACTGGTGTGAGACAGTAAAGCGGTAAAGAAAGCATGAATAATGAAGACTTTCAAAGATGCGCTACGATAATTAGTCAAAAAAAAAAAGTTCAGTTTTGTAGGAATCGTGAATTATATGCACACACTCTAGGCAGGTAGCAGCTTCAAAACATTCAGAAGCCCATGATTTAATCACCAACGCCACAAGTAAGCAGTTGCACAGTCGCCCTGCTGTTGCACAACTCAATCCGTTACTTGTGGGTGTCTCGCTTTGCTTAAGAGCCAACTTTTGATCACAATCTCTATAAATATTAGTCGAGTAGGTTAAAGAAAAATAAAATAAAATCAAAGGCTCACTGAAAGCTTAGTTGGGTTTCCCCCAACATACCTGAGCTCCTTTATAAATTATGCATGGAGCGGCAGAAACCCACTTCTTAGCTTAATCTGACAAAGAGCGCGTTTCATATTTGCTCTCGGCCTTCATGAGCTCATGTGAAACTGCTGGAGGAACTGGAAACCGCGAGTGTGACTTCTCTGCTGCCTTCTTTTCTGTGGTTCTGCAACTCTAACCCGAGAGGTAAGCCCATACATCAAGGGCTTCCCTCTTCAAGTAAAGATGTTTAAGGCCTTCCTCGTAATGCTGGTAGCTGCCGCGCCGGTCGCACATCAGAACACGCTTCTGTTTGGGAGGGAAAGAAAGAAAGCTCGAGAAGTCTGGGTTGCAGCGAGTGGAGAGGTAAACTCTTATTTAAAAACACGAAAGACGAGAGAGTGTGTGTGTGTGTGTGTGTGAAGGGGGAGGGGAGGAGTACAGACGTACTATAGAGGGCTACCTGTCTGGGAAGCAGACCTCAGGGTAAACTTGTTTCCCTGCCTTACTTCCTTAAGCCGTTCCAAAACAAACAGGGCACCAAGCAGTCACGCTGGATAAACACACACGTCTATTAAACGGACACACTCCACCTGAGCCGACGTTCCCTTTCACAGCGACTTCAAAAGTAAGAAATATTGCGTGCGCTGCATTACTCTCCAACAGAATTCCCTTCAAATGTTAGTTGTGTTTTAATGAAGCAGATTTGAAGTCAATTCAAATAATCAAACATATTTTTTTTTCATTTCTCGTCCCATAATTTGATCCAACATTTTCTGATTTCTTGCAAAAGTATTTAGGCACATTTTGTTGTAATAAAACTACAAGCTTAAATGTGTTGGATTTGGATGTCATGTGACAAAGAAATACATTACAGTGCAGAACTGCGAAGTGAAAGGAAATTAATGTACAGTCTTGACTGAATCATTGCAAAATGATTCACGGTGCACTAATTGCAGTTTTCCAGCTGATCTTTGAAAAACCGGACCTGCCGATTCTAATTTTTTGGCCGATATTGATGTTATCGTCTGAGAAGCTGCTAAAAATAGAGACAGAGTTGGTGAGTTGGCAACAGAGTGGTGGCTATTGTTTACCGAACACGTGCAGATGTGATTTGGTGGGCGGGTCTGTCCGTCAGACAGAGCAGACACACACACACACACACACACACACACACACACACACACACACACACACACACACACACACACAAAACAGGGCTGATTCATCAGTTCCTTGCTAGAAACAGAGTTAAAAAAATGTTTGCAACAATTTGTAAATTTGTAGTTTTGGTATTGGTTCATATATATAATTTGTTTACAAAAACTCCTCATGTAGTGTATTTTTAGCTTCACTCAGCCCAAATTCACTAAAAGAATGCTATATTATGCCACTTTCAGCAATAAAATGTTTATTTTCTTACTTTAAAAAAGAAACTGAATAATTGTTTATTTCCATCTTTTAATGCATTTCTAGTATTGTATAAAAATGCTTAAGTGGATAAATGGAAAATCTGTAGAACATGCCAAATTTTATATCTAATTAATCGACTAATCGATTATTGTGAGTTGCAGCTTTATTGTGCACTAATCTAATTCATTGTGGCTGTAACAAGAAAAAATTTTAAATTAAGAAGACGCTGCATATAAAGCGCTGCTACTTTAAAAACAGACTGAAAACTGTGCGACTAATACATGTCTCTCCAGCAGTCCCATATGTTTTAATCTGAGTTTCAAAATATACCAGTCATGTGGGGTTAAAAAAATCATTTAAAAAGAATGAAGACCTGCCCGGCATTTTTAAAGATCTGTGACCTTTTCTGGCACACTGAGCTGTTTACAGCAGCTGGCAGGTAATAAGGTGAATCTAACGAGCCGTCTGCGACGCGTCCTAAACGTCTCAGGTGTGGGCCAGTAGTAAAGCAAAGAAAAATAAACACGCGTGTGTCCGGAACGAAGCCGTACCTCCCTGCGTCGTTGGCACGTTGACTGTGACGATCTTGCTGTTTGCGGGGAGCGGCAGCTTCGCTGTCACGACTTTTCCGCTGGCCGAGGTCCCTGTGATGTGTAAAGTGTGCCCACTGGAAGTGGCGACCGGGGTCTCGCCGCCTGATCCTGAAAATTTAAAAACACACACAGTGTTAAAATCAAATCAAGACATTTATAAACAGAGAGGGTTTTTTTTTCCCTCCGAGTTACCTTGCGTGCTTTGACCCTGCTTGACCCAGGTGGCGAAGGACTGCTGGAAGTTTTTGTTCTGCTGGAATGTGACAGGACTGCCCATCTTGGTGGACAGCACCACCTTGGCAGTGGGGGTGCCCTGGCCGGAAATTGAGCCGACGATGACTTTGGGCGTGGCGGCAGGCGTGGCGGAAGTCCCGGCCGGCGTGGCTGTGACGGAGCCGGACTTCTGCTCGAGACGTTTCTGCGACGTGGGAGACCAAACGCTCAGCAGGAGAAACACAAGAACGTATAGAAAAGAATATCTAGCGCGCAAATCAGAGATTTTAATCGGAGAATTATGTTTGGATCCCATCCAAAAACATATTTAGCCTTTAATGCCACCCACATGAGCCGTGCTTCAGTTCATGGGTTTCTTTAATTAGCTTTGATAAAAATCAACCATCATGCCAGCTGGGGAAACCAAATTTACCTTGGCTTGCTCTGCTGCCTGGGCCTTTTCTTTCTCCACCCTGTAAAATAAAAAAGTGTTCACAAACAATAAGCACTTCACAGAACTTATTTCAGATTCAAAACACCTGAAAAGGTACATTTCCACTCAATCTTCTCATATAAGGGGTATCATTAGCGCCTGATTCTGTTATTAAACAATACAGCTGAAGTGATTCATCTGATTAATCGATTATTTAAATAATCGTGAACCAATTTAGTAATCTATTAATTGTTAACTGGAGCATTCGAACTCTACAAAGACTATTTGGTGAAAAATAAAACACATTCAGGGTCGTATTTAAACCAAAACTGTACAAAATTTTGCATTTAAGACTAAATCAAATCTTTCAAATTTAGTATAAGAATGTTTTGTTACAGCATTTTAGGAAATAAAATGTTTATTTTCTTATTTAAAAAATGTATTGAATTATTAGTTTATTTGAATTTTTTTTTATCTTTTTCCCATTATTGTTTAAAAAGGCTTAAGTGGTAGAAGGAAAAATGTGCAGAATGCGCATATTTCTTTCTAAATCCAATTAATCGAGTAATCATTAGAACAATCAATCACTAAAATAGTTGTTACAACAGAGCAACACCAAAAACAAACAGAAGACATGTAAAGAGGTGAATGAGAGACTTTTTCTAATATTTAATCATTGGCTGTCTAAATAAAAACATGAGGGCCTAAAATGGCTGGCTAAGTGCAGTGAGTGATTTGATTTTTTGATTCAAATAACAGCAAAAACACGGGGTTGCTCCTCCGTTTGGAATCAAAACAACTCACTTTCCTGGAATAGCTAAAAAAAAAAAAAAGTCATTTTATTAACAGCTGCATCTCCAAAAGGAGAAGAAACAGTTTCGATTAAACCCTTTAAACCTCATTTAGAAGCCTAGCAACACAACCTGGGGGCTACTCTGCTCACACAGCACTGGTTTTTGTTTTGCTGAAAGGATAATTGCCCCTTCCCGTCCCCCTGACCTTTCTGAAAAGGCCCTTATCTCCCAGAGGTCCAGTTCCTCCTCAGGCACCCATGTCTCGATCACCACTGGGCCGGTCTGCTTTGTGGGTTCGGGCTTCTTGGGACGCAAAGCGCTGGAGCGCAGACCTTTCCTCTGAGGAGTGTGTGTTTCTGGAACAGCGGACAGGTTGGGAGGGAAAAAAAAAAAAAAGATTATTGGAAGCATCTTTGCTTCAATATGTGGACGTAAAGTTCATCTAAACATTCTCTCACACATATAATATGAGATCAGTTCTTCATTGTTTTTCATTCAGTTCTTTAGATTCTCCAAACATTTTTAACAAGCAAGTGCTAAGAGTTAGTATGACATGTCAAAAAACTAGCTACGTCTGGTGGTAGGGAAGCTGGGGTAGTCATCCAGCAACTTTCTGTGTTTTTGAGTTAAAAAATGTTTAAAGTTGAGAGGAAATTTGAAAATATCACTAGGTAATTATGTGCTATTGGAAGACATTATCTGTAATAACCAAGTATCAACTATAAAGTCTTAAAAACCCCTAAAATAAATAAAACGAGCAAAGCTTAGCCTGGTGGCCCGCCAGGCTTGTAATACACTGGGGGAAACCCTGACGTATCAGTGTATAAAAAGAACAAAAGACTCAAAAATGTTAAACTGTAAAATGCCTCCCATAATAAACTTATAACTAATTATGAGTGTACTAATGGGTTTTTGGTTATTAACTAAAGGCAAAATGTATGTCAGTAATTTGCTTATTATTAGGAAATGGGAGAGGAATTCAATTGAAACAGGAGAGCCTGAAGCATGGCAAAAGAAGACAACATTTTATAACTTGGTCACAGCAGTTGATTTCCAGTTATTCCAGAAAATGTCTGACAGTTTGATATTTTGTCCCAAGTCATCTTGGGTCAGATGACTTCAGAGCAAAGTCAGCGATTGGCGGGTCTGTCACTGAATGATCAGAGTGCAGATTTTAATTCAAAAAAAAGGAAAAAAAAAAAAAAAAAAAAAAAAAGAAACTCACTGGTTTAAGCCACAAATCACTTACATGTGCACAATATTTGCCTTGCTCTCTGGGAAGAAGAACCCCAAACTTGTTTATCAAAATACCAATCTCATCAACTCACGATCTTGCAAGACGACTGTGTAGGAATCAGTAAATGGCAAAAACAGAAAACGCAATTTACCTTTCGGCGTCTCAGGAACGCCGAGAGGGCAGATGATTTTGCGGATGCAATACTCTGAGCGGATGCCGTAGGGTCCCACGTCACGCCGCTTTATGATCTCGGTGGTGGTGATTTCGGTATCCGAGGTCTCTGTTGCAATGAGTGGGGATAGGGCTTTGGTTGGTATGGTGATGAGGACGAGACCCCCGCCCCAAAAAAAAAACAAAAAATTGGAGGAAATGCTCTCTAACACAGAAACAGTAACAGCCAACTGAATGTCTTGGCTGGTTTTTAGGTGAAAGTAGGAATAAGTTGGAGAAATCAGGTACTTATTACATATATGAGAGGTAATTACCAACAATTTACAAATCTCTAGAAGTTTGTTCCCTTTTTTTAATTTTTTTTTTTTTTCCAAAAACTGAGGACACATTCGAGGGTCTACCTGTACGCGTCGTGCCTACGGCGGCAGACGGTTTCACGGCCATATCGTCCCACCTCAAACAGGCCCATAGGAGCCTCAACATGAGGCTCACTCCAGCCAGGGACTTCACCGTCTGCAGCCGGTACCTGGATCCAGCAGCCAGAGGAAGTGTTAGTCATCCACAAATGCGAGAAAACATTTCCAGTTGTCCAATTGACCAACATCAAAGTTTCCATGATTTGCCGGTGTCGTAATGACTCCCTCAGAGTTACAGAAAACAAACTGCTGTACAATCACGTACATAACTGGAAGATGCAGATAAAAAAAACAGACTTCTGGGAATATCGCTGCCGATTATATTTCTGCCAAACCAACAGCGGTGGCTTTCATTTTTAATAAATACTTTCAAGCTCTAGTGGAAGTTTAGGATGGTTGCTCACTAAAAACCGTATCAAAGAACACTTATTTCACACAGTTCATTTAGTCACCGAAAATTTACGACAGGATGCCGTTCATCCACAGATAATGTCCAGAAGAAGGCATTAATCTTGCTCGGGCCATTATGGCCGGGAATTCTGTCCTGACAATGAATTTGGCTCTTGGACACTGTGATTAAAAACATCTTGAACATCTACAAAAACATGATTATCTCAGGGCTTTGAGTGCGGATGGGGTTTGGTAGATCTGCACATTCCCATGTGTGACCGCCAGTGGAAAAGTATGCACAGGCTGCAGGGTTTGGTCGGTGCAGAAAGTGAACGTGGTGACACCTCTCTGACCACCGGGTGATTCATGTCTGCTCCGAGACTCTGAAGCTTGGACAAAACAACCAGAGGAGCCTGTGTGACACGAGACTGGGAGCCGCAGTAGGCTCTACGGGCCAAAACCACAAACAGCAGATGGGGGGGAGGAGACGCGAATGATAAACTGACAGTGGATTCACCTTTCTGACACAACGCTTTATTTGCTGTATGTATAGCAGGTAATTTTAAGAGGGAGCCCTTTAAATGAGTGCATGAGTTTGTTATTTTTACAATAAGAGGAGCCCTTTTACTTTTTCTGATCTAAGCCTCAAGCTAGGTTTATAGTTGACAAATTGAACTGGGTGCAAAGGGGCAACTAGAGATCTCACCTGTTGCGATGTCTGGTTGTGCACTTCTGGATTTTTGTAAAGCTGGCTAAGTTTTGGTGTTGACCATTTAATTGCAGCGAAGAGGTGTCCCTTTAGTGAATTTGAACTGATAAGAGCTAAAACTATGACACTTGAGGAGTTTTGAGAAAAAAAAAATTTACAGACAAAGGTGTTATCTTAAATGCAAACTTATATATATATATATATTGTAAAGTTTTAGCCTTTTCAAATAGTCGTTTATTTAGCTTGTGTATCCCAGTTGACGATTAATAATTGCTAAATTAACTAGGCTTCTTCAAGTTATATTGGCGCTTGTTGAACCTGCGGAAGCGAAGACAGCGGTATTGCGTTTATCATTAGTGCCTAAATTGGAGCCATATTCCCGTAAAATGATCCTTCAAAGAGGGTTTATATAAATACCAGTACAACTGCACCTGGTCTGCAAGAGCACTTTTCAAATCTTCCAGTTTCCATGAACGGTGCCCTGCGCGTCGCCTCCGCGCGCTGTCGCGGCGTGCACCTCAAAATGTTTGTATCTGGACGCGAATCGCGCGTGCCACCTTTCACGCAACTTGGATGACTTGGAAGGTGTTCTTGCAGAGCAGGTTCGGTTTTTACATGATCCTTCCTTGAGGGCTCGTTTTAGGAGAATATTGCACCGCCGTTCGTTGCATCAACTATAATCGCCAAACCGCTTGCTTGGAACACGCGCGCTCTACGCAAACTTTTAAAAGCGAATCGCGCGCGTCACTTTTAACTCTAACTTGACGATTTGAAATGCGTACCCCTGCATTTGCATTGATACAATCCCTCTAAGACTGTTCATCTTCAGAGCCACCGTCGTTCGTGTCAACTATAAATGTCACACCGCATGCTCGGTTCGCACGCGCCCAGTATAACTCGGTCATTTATTACCAGTGAAGCCGGCCATGTTTAGGGCAACACGAGCTTTCAGAAATGAATCCAGCATCACATAGCCAAAGACGTCGAGTTAGACATGTTTTCTGAAATGCCGCAACCAGCTAGCAGTCGTTTTTACATCACACCCTGTGATGTGAAGCCAGCTTAACCTTTCTTATGGCTACATCTTGCTTGGCGTCTACGAAACAACAATTGTGATACAGAAGTAATATAAACTGCAACACCACTCTCATATTGTTGGACAACTGTACAGACAATCTAATTACAACTGTCAAGGGTGTTGATCAGTTTGAGCTGAAATACAAAACAGATTTGTGAAGATTTTCAGAGACAACCAGGCCTGGACTGAGTTGTATTGAAACTGAAAGTGTGCTGTTTGGGGAGGTAACCTGTGTTTTTAGTCCTGTGGTTCCACATCCATCTGTTTCCCATTTATACATGACAGCCTTTTTCTTAATGTTCTGCAGTAAACGATACTGAGGATTAAGTTTTTCCAATTTTGTCATGTTGCAACCACAAACTTCAAAGTATTTTAGTTTTTTTTTTTTTTGCGACTGACCAACACAAAGTACTGTAATGTGTGAGGAAAATTATACAAAAAACTTGACAACTGCAGAGTACAAAAATCATTCAATATCCCCAAACCAACACTTTACAGGATCACCTGTCACTGCAATTACAGATATGATTACCAGATTTGGAAAATGAATTCAATGCCCATTCTCGTTTGCAAAGTAGCTCAAGCTCAGTGAGATTGAATGGAGAGCATCTGTACACGCACATTTTTCCAAACCTTGTCACAGATTCTTAGTTCAGTTCAGGTAACACTGAATGGGGTTAAATTACTCTTCATTTGGAGCTGGACTGGATTTTATGTAAGGTGAGTCACAGTAAAGGGGGCTGAAAATAAAAATGTCAAAAAGCCTAAGGAAATAAACCAAAGTTTGTGCTTTTAACATCACATGTAGAAAAGTTAAAGGGGTATAAATACTTCTATAAAGTACCGTATGCAATTAGAAAGATATTATCTGAATGATTTAATCTTACAAAACAGTAAAACAATCATATTGTTAGAAAAACATATACTAATGAAGTGTATGTTTTAAATGTATTTTCACAAAAAATGCATTGTGTGTGCAATGTGTACCTTAACTTCACTGAAAAATGCCTTCAGAGTGTGAAATGGACTTGGATGCCAGAAAAACAAGCTAGACAGAGAACAGTAAGTGATTCTTGACAAAGAGTAGCAGGTCTACCTCCAAGTGATGCCAAACGTAGGTCTGGGTGAAGGGTACGGCCAAATATCCTGAGCTGGCTTGGCGTTGTAACTGAACACCGGCACCTCGCGGAATCCTCCTCGCCTCGCCAGCACCTTCAAGTCGTCATGCGGCAGAACAAAGATGCTCCTCCGGGCGCTCTTGGTGATGAACTTGCGGTAAGAAGGAAGAGCTGTGTCGGAGCGCGTCTTCTTCGTGCGCGAGAATTTGAGAAGGCGCACGCGTCCTTTCGTCGTCGAACACTCTTCGTGGCTCGTGGAGACAGACGACACTGTAGTTTTACCACCTGCACCAGATTCCCGGGTGCATGACGAGTGCGTCATTCTCTGCTCCTGCACCAGTGTTTCGCTCTGGCTGTCTTCAGACAGACCGTCGAGTCCAGAGCAGCAAACTTTGGTCATTGTCGTTTTGGTCATGCTGGAAAGGGTCGAAACTGCGCTGCTCTTCGTCGTCACCACACCCGGGCTTTTCGCCGTCCTCATCTCCGTAGAGACTACTGTCGTTTTGGTGGAGGTTGTGGTTACCTGAGTGATGATGGTCTTGAATGGATCCGCTGACCCACTGTTGCTGTTCTCCTCCGCGAAGTCGTCACTCAGACTGGACTCCTCAGGTGAGGGAATGGGAGAAGGAGCCATTCTGATGATCTTCACGGCAGGAGCGCGTTTGGTCTCCTCGGGATAAAAAGCCGAGGTGCTGTCGTTCTCCAGATTGCTCCTGGCGTTGCCTCCAAATTTGTCTGTGCTGTTCTCAAGCTTTGCCATCTTCGGCGGAGGGCTGTAATTCTGGTCCAGTGTAGTCATCTTTCCCTCTGCCTCAGAATCTGAATGTGCCTCTTTTCCTTTTAAAATGACCGTGGCGTTTACCGAGGCCAAGTCTCCGTTCACTAAAGGCTTCTGCTGTGCGCCATCTTTCGACGAGACCACCAGCCTTTGATCCTCGGCCTTCCCGATGCTGTTCATGTTGGGCTGGGGCCTGTCGGTGAGCACACCATTGTTCAAGCTCATTACAGAGTTACTCAGTACGTTTTCGCCAACCAAACCGCCATTCCCGTTCACTTGAGGCACGGGCGAAATCGGCTTGGAAATGTCTTCCCCTATGGTTCCGTTGTGTCCAAAGCCCTGCGAGTTTCCTTGGGTCTCCTCTGGCCCAAAGCCATTTTCCTCTGAGTGCGCAGAATCCAGAGAGTCTGAGGTTTTAACAGGAGATCCGTTTTCACTGGTATTTTGGTCGACAACACGTGGAAGTGTTGTCACAGAGTTGGACTCTGCATTTAAAGAATGTTCCGCCTTGGTTTCATCTGATGCAACACAGGCTGTTTGTTGCCCTAAAGAGCTATTAGACCCCCTCACTTTTTTCTCTTGCTCATCTGACAGCTTAATAGCTTCTTGTCCAGAACCTTCAGAGCAGTTTTCTTTATGCCCTGTAGTCCTTTCCTCCAAGTGATCCTGGAGCATGGAGGCAGTTTGACTTTGTGGTGAACCTTCACCTGTACCTGTATTGCAAGTGTTTTTGGGGCTGCAGTTCGACACAGAGGAAGGAGAAGGATTAAAGAGTTCAGTCACACTCTCTCCTTCCTCTGGTCCTCCGGCTCTTGTTGCCCCCGTTTGTGCCGTAGAAAGTTTCTCTTCCACTTTCACAGCTTCCTTGTTTACAAGTTGTGTCTGTGCGAGATTCTGCGGCTTGAGCGGCGACCGAGGCCGGATCGGAGTGCTTGGGATGGGGGCTGAACAAGGAGAAGCCGGCGCCGGTGCCAGCGGTCTGGATGCGGAAACCTGCTGCCTCTGCTTCTCTTCGATCGTGTGCTGCTTCACTCTGCGCTCCAGCAGGCTGTCCAGCTTGGAGGTCTTCACTTTCTTCTTGTAAGCAACACGGGTGAGGAAGCCCTTGCTGACGTCTACGACGTCGTAGTTGAAGGGGCGCTGAGAAGGGTCTGAAGGCTCCTCTTTTATGGCAGCTTTGTGCTCCTGAATACTGGACTCTGCAAGAGACAAATGCATTCACACTTCAGCTTAAGTTTTACACCTAGCTGGATATCTGTTAAAACAAATACATTTTTATGTGTTGTGGCCTTTCATCCACACCAAAACTCTCATGCGGATGAAAACTTTTCTGAATTCCATTCGGTGTGTACGATATTACTATTGATTCTTAGAAAGACCCGGCTATGTGTGGAGAATATACAATAATATGCAATATCTTTGTAAAAAAGGGTAATATAAAGTTTTTTGTTTCATTTCTATCTCTCTGATTAGTGTTTCAACTGATGGAGATATGTGTATTATAATTAATATGAAAATCTCCATATGCTACCCTTGCTGCTGCTAGCATGTAGCTGTTTTAAGACTTGTCACTGCGGTAGTTATAAAACGTCGAAAGCTTTGGAGAACAATGCTATACTTTGTTCCTTTGACGCGGAGTCTGTGGGATCCCCTTCCATCTTTACAGGTGAACCTGCTGGCTTCTTTTCTTCTGGTTCTTCGTTCTCGTCTTGCTCCATCCTCTCCATAGATTCCGCGTCTTCCGCAGCTTTTCTGGAGAGACCTGTGGAGTCTTGCTCCTTGGTTTCACTGCTTGACGCAGGACCGTCCTGAGCTCCCAATCCAACTAAACTGGGTCGTCGGCTCAAGTCCAACAAGGTACATCTCTTGCCCAGTTTAGCATCTATAGAAAAATATGAGAGAATGAGAGATCATGTTCCAGAATGGATTTAAAAAACTGAATCATTCGAAAGGTTGAACTTTAACAGCTTAGCAGCAGAGTCCATATGTTAATCAGCTTAAACAAAAAGCTTCAAAATAAGTCGGAGGAGTTGTAACACCACCAGACTTTGCCCTGCAGAAGCATCGATAGTCCTTGTGCCTTTCCCTATATACAACAACCACAAACTTTAAGATGTTTTATTGGTGTCACACAATAAAGTAATGCAGAAGTAAAACAAATCTAAAAAATTAGAAAACATTAAACTTTAAAGCAGGGATTGGTTATAAAACAATGTTCCAAGCTCAAAACATCACATAAAATCCCAATACAACATATTTAGTTCGTAATATGACAAAAAGTGAACAAGTCTAAGAGGTGTGAATACTTTTGCAAACTAGAAAAGCAAGAATCCTTTAAAGTCTAACGTTCTCATCAAATAAATTTTAAAGTTGACATAGATGAGAACCTTTTCAACGCCTCTCTTTTATTAATGATGCACATAGGCACCAAGAAAGAGTAAGAGTTTGCATCCGAGCAACATATTCAACAAGTGTTGACCATTTTTTGCATAAACCAAAGACTCTAGGGTGAAAGGGTTATTTCAGACCTTCCAGTTCTTTGCGGTAGTTGGCGTTGGTGTTTCCAGGAAGCTTTGGGGAAAACCGAGGTACGTAGGTCTTACTGATAAAACTCCAACCTCCGTAGCCTGTAACACGATACTCCTCTCCCTTCTGCTTCCACACCTACATATGGGACGTAAAATGAGGAAAAACATCAATAAAAGGAAGAACAAGAAGCTCAACCGATCAAGTGAAATGCAAGGAAAATTCTCTGTGAAGCAAGAAAAACAAGTTTTCGTACACAAAGCTTAAATGTTCAGAGATTAGTGGTATATTTAGTCCAAATTGCTCAGGGAAATGACTCACAGCAGTGTTTGACCTTCTATATCAAAGAGCCCTTGATGGTCACATAAACCACATTATTTCCTACCAGATTGACTCACTCTAAAGTCATTTAACATATGAAGACTTCAAAAATATTTTGACTCAGACAACACATGAGACAACATGGGTGGAATATTTTATCGTACGGGTTTTGGTCCGACTTCACCACAAATAAAAGAGTAAATTGACAGCACAGAATCTTAACAAGCATTCGATTATTAAGGACTCAACCAACTATCAGTACACCCTTAATTAAGCCAATGTTAACTACCTGGTGCTTGATTGGAAAGGTGTACTTGACCCAGGTTGCTTGTTGCATTGTCTCCTCGTCCTCCAGCTTCTTTTCTCTCTTCTTCACCTTCTCTTTCTCTTCACGCTCCATGGACGTCATGCGGTTCAACCTGAAAGTGTTTCACATTTTACTAATGAACGGAAAGCATGAAGATGTCTGGTTGTACCTGACAGAATATTTCTTAAAAGACAAGAACGTGAAAGTTGAATTGTGAGATTTGTCATTGCGGTGCAACACACACTTTAATTTAAACAATTTAAGTTGCAGAGGTCCCGGTCCCGTACGCCGATTCTACAATACGAGACAATAACATTTACTCTATGAAGTTCGAGCAGAATCAAAACCTCAGAAGTGACATAGGAGGAAGGACACAATGAAGGAAGTAGGATAGTAAACAAGGACAGAAGGAAAAGGAAGGAAGAACAATGTCAAGTAACATAATGAAGGAGAGAATGGAAGAAAAAAGAAAATGAAAAGAGAGGGAGGGAGGAAATGACGTAGGGCACAACAAGGGAAGGAAAGAATGACAAGACAAGAAGGAAAACAAGGAAGAAAAAGGAAGCAATGAAGGAAGCAAGGAATAAAAGGACGGAAGAAACAAAAGGAAGGAAATTAGAAAAAAATAAAGAAAGGAAATGTAGACAAAGGAACAGGGAATGAAGTCAGGAGAAGAAATACAAATCATTTCCCATACATTTATGATCCTTACTAATCCAAAACTCTAAAGTCACTCTAGACGGCGTTGGAACCCTGTTTAACTCAAACTAACGAGTTTGACTCTCATTTAAAATGAGAACCTGGTCTTCTGTTTAAAATCCCTTTTATGAAATGCAGTTTCTCTCACTACTATCTCGATATTCAGAGTTGGGATGAATAAACACATCCCGGTCCTAACCCAATGAGGGCCTGGACAATCACCTCTATGAAAGGGCCCTATGTCACAGGAGGCGTAGAGGCAGAGTCGGGTGGTGCTGGTCGGGGACGTGCAATCAAAATATTATGCCTCACAGCTAGGGTGGGCCTTTTGAACGGATCTGGTTACCGTCGACTTTGCCCGCTAAACTCAGTGAACATACCCTGTGTACATGCCCTGAATGCTTTCTTAGGCTTCTGGAGCTTTTGAAGGTTTGGTCAGCTAGTTTAAGAAATAGTTCAGTAATGAGGAGGTGTGTTGTTGTTGTGAGGATGTCTTCCTAAATTAGGCTTTTCATAAACTCAGAAGATGCAAAAATGAAATATTGTTTTCTACATGTTCAGCGGATGTCCTTAAGTAGTTTCATGAAAGATTTACACACATCCTGGACACATACAGCACTGTTAGGCTTGAGCTCCTTACTGGTGACAAATCATACTAAAACTTCAAACTAGAAACACTTTCTATTAATTAGGATGACAGAAAAAAATGCAGGTGAGCACTGCAGGTCAGCTGGATGAAAGAGGGCACTATGCTTCTTTCTCACTTACAAAAAAAAAACTGTCAGAGCAGATAGCCATACCGATTAATTAGCTGATATCAACTTGTTTAGCTTATATTGCATTATGAAAAGTGAAAAGGTGTAATATTCTGTGTAGGGTTGAAACAATTAATCACGATTAATTGATTATTGAAAACAATGTTCAAATGATTTAGTAATCAATTAATCGTTAAGTGGAGTATTCAGACTCAAAACAAACAAACAAACAAACAAACAAAAACCCAAAAAATTCCCTGAAACTCTGGTACTTTTATCTGTACTCCAGGCAGGTTCTGTGCGTAGTATTTCTTTACCTGGTATGACCCAGTGAATCTTTCCAGACAGGCAGCATCGCCACAGGTTTGATGGCACACTCCAGAATGGCCAGGGCCAGAGCAAACTCTCTGGCCTTACTGCACATCTGAACTGCTTTGATCCAGTTGGTCCTATGAAAAGAAACACTAAAGATCAATTACATGATCCTAAATTCTAAGAGAAATTATAATTAAATTTGGCTATAAACACCCAGGTTTTGATTGTGCCTCTATTTGAACCTTATTTGTAAGCTAAAGAATTAGATTGATACTCACAAAGTCTCTTGTTTTGTTAAAAAAAAGAAAGAAAAGTAATCTTTTTCCAGTTTTTACCTGTGTGAGGCCCAGTTTGGATGCATGAAAGGAGACGGAACGTTGTTCTCAAGCTGGATGATGGTGAGTCTTAACGTGGAGATGGTCAGAACCTTAGAACCATGAATGGACCCGTTCCACTTGAACTCTCCTGCTGGCGTCATACAAAACTTATGGGAGAGATGTCGCCTCTTGTCATGGTCCTGTCCAGATTTAAACAAAAAAGAAAGTTAAATTAGAGATGCACTAATCAATCGGACATAAATCAGAATTTGACATTTTTTCCCCTTTGATCGGGAAACAACAGCTGAAATGACGAAAACGCCACTTGCCTCTCTGTGCTGGTGCTTGTTGAGGGCCAAGGCGTTGGCGCTGTACTGGTTATGATAGACGCGGTACTTCCCCTCCTGACCCAGCTTGAAGAACTGGCTGATGGTTCCCTTCATCACCACCTCCTTGCTGCTCCGTGTGCTGACCCGGGTGATGTCGCCCTGGGCGTTCACCACCAACACCTGCAGAAACAACCGCAACCTTAAAAACACTATCGCAACAACCGTAACTCTCACCTTTTATGAATTTAAACAGATTTTCTTTCCCGTGATATTCTACTTCAAAGACATTCTTACATAAAATATGTCGAATCATATTGCTCCCATGTTTGAGTCTGACCTCTTTGCCCTCCTTAAAGCCCCTGTTGGCCTCATGAACAGCAGCTGCGACCTGTTGACTCTTCAGCTGGCTCAGCTTGCTCTCTGGGTTCCTCAGGCGCGTCACCATGCGCGTCGCTGAGGACCTCTTACTGCTGCCGCCTGCCGTCTCGCTGTTGGTCGAGTCTTTGCTGTCCCCTAGAAATGCAGTGAGCAGTTTTAGTCAAAGAAATAAGAAGGTCGACGTAGTAAAACATACTGTTTTGTATTGTGAATACATAAATTCAGACAGTAACAAGCTTTCATCGCAATTTTTTGACAGTTATTATGTAGGGATGAAACGATTAATCGGATTAATCATGATTAATCAATAATTGAAATAATCATCAACTAATTTAGAAATCAATTAATTGTTAACTGGAGTATATGGACTGAGGGAAAAAAAAGTTATTTAAAAATGGTACAAAATATATACACATTTTAATTAAGATAAAAACACCTATGTCTATAAATATGTTTCACCCAAAACTCCTCGAGTGGCGTAGTTTTAGCTCTACACTCTTCAATTTTACTAAAGGAAAGCTGTGTTGTTGCATTTTAAGCAGTAAAATGTTTATTTTCTTATTTAAAAAAAAGGAATGCATTTTTTATTTGCATCTTTTAACGTATTTGTAATATTGTGTAAAAAAGCTGAAGTGGTTAAATAAAACAATCAGCAGAACGTGCCGATATTTTGTATCCGATTAATCGGCAGAATAATCGATTGCTAAAATAACTGTTAGTTGCAGCCCTATTATTAAGCATGATGCTTTGTATGGCTTTATAAGCGACGGACCTGCGTCATCGAGGCTCGCCAGGGATGACTGGGATGATCTATCAGCCAAGTCTGGGGGCTCCGGGCCCCTGGCAGCGACGGCGGCTCCTACGCTGCTGTTGCTGTTGTCTTCACAGGGTTGGGAGGGCTGACTCAGGCTGGGGACGCCGTCACCACTGACAGGCACTGAGTCAGATGCTGGGTTTCCTTCACGCAGTAGGAATTGGGGAAAAAAAAAAGGCTGATAAATGGTATACATGTTGAAACAGGTAGCAGATTTGATTTGATTTTTTTCATTTTACCCAGAATAATATCTAATTCTGCACTGGCATTGTTGCAGTGCACATTTTAATAATAATTAAATGTATAAGTTATTTCTTTCATTTTATTTCATTAGGTGCAATACCACAGCTTGCTTCTTAACAAAAACTTTTTCATACATGGTTTATAGCTTTTAGTTTAGATCCTTTTTCATTGTGATTTGATTCTTTTTTTATTGTGAGTTGCTCATTGCTGCTGTGACACATGAATTTCTTCATGTCAGGATTAATAGAGTGCATCTATCCATCTGTTTAAGAAGAGAATCAATATATTAAAAATGCAATAAAAGAGTAAGCAAGGAAGTAATATACTGTCAGTGAAAAAAGACACTTTCTCATGCCAGTAAAAATTAAGTTAGGCTTTGGCTCCCTCTGCTGAAACCTTTTGAGTATTGCATCACAACAAATAGGGAAGACGAGGATCGAGTAAAAAGGGTTTAAGAAATTTCAATTTGAGCTCTTCCTCATGATACTGACTGTGGAAGTCAAACATTTTCCAGAAAAGCTCAAAATGAATTTTATTTGTTTTACAGCTAAAACAATACTCTCATAGATGATTTTTTTTTTTTTTTTTAAAAAAGAAGAAAGCCAAGAGTTAATTTCCTTTGTGGAGTTCCAGATACACTGAGAAAATAGTCCTACTTAAACTTAAACTGTACCTTCGGTTTTGTTGGGCGCCGACTCAAAGACGCATCGCTCTAGCCGAACCTCCACAGTGGAGGACAGGCCGCCGCTCCCGACGGAGGTTTGTGAAGGAGAAGCTGTCGATGGGATCGATGGTACATCCCCGACACTGCCGCCGCCGCCGCCGTCTTCTTGGCTGGAGGGCGGAGCTTCACTTTCTGTAGAATAGCAGCAGAAATAATGTGAAATGTGAATGTTTCATGAAGGTGATGAAATATGAAACTGCCAATAAAGAAAGAATAATATGGCCAAATTACACATCAGGTTAAGTTATATTATCCACTTCTACTCCATTACCAGACAGCTACTTGGTCCTACAAGAGTATTTTCTTTCTAAAGCACCTACCGCTGCTCTTCTCTCCGTCGTTTTTTTCCTGCATGGCCTCCTCTTTTGTTGACTGGTCTTCCACTGACCGCTCTTTGGCCTTGCCGTCCTCCTGTTCTTCATCCTTCGGCTTGGCCTCCTCTTCTCCCTTCTCCAAGTCTTGCTCCTTCTTCTGTTTCTCCAGCCGCGCCTTCTGGGCCTCTTCGGCCGCCCGTCTCTTCACCTCCTCCAGCTCTTCCTCCTTCTTAGCTCGCAGTCGCTCCAAGATTTCATCTGAGTGGAAAGAGAGAGAAGGGAAATAATATTAAGAAACGGTCAAATTGAAAGTCCAGAAAGGAAAATCTGCTAAAAAGGTGAAGGCTAGTATTATTTTTTTTTAAATCAGCTGCTTAAGAGAACTGCTCCCATGCTAAAGCCAGCAGGAAAAGTGATCTGCAGTTATTGTTGTAATATCAGTTTGCAGTAATAATGTGCTGCTTGGAACCAAGGGGATTATTTTGTGTTTTTTTTTTTTTCTTTTTAAATTTAGTGCAGAAATATTGCTGACAAGCCAGAGGGAATAAACTGTTCAATTATTGTTTTCTTTAGTCAAAATGAAGCTATGTCTGTGGACACAGGAAGTTTCACCTCTTGGAAATATAGGTTAAGGAAAAAAAAAAAAGGTTTTCTGTGCATCATAAGAGACAGAGAGATTGAGAGAACATACCATAAATTAAATAATTTAAGAAAAAGACAAGAAGAATCATAAAGTCCACCAGTTTGTGGAGTTTCCCGTTCTTTACCATTGGCAGCAGTGAGGAAACACTTGTTGTTGCCGCGAGCCTTGTTGGTGAGGTCCTCGGTGATGTCCATGTGGGTGTGCACCTCGTCCCTTATCTCCTCCAGGGCTGCGTACAGGTCGGCCTCCCAGTACTCTTTATCCAGCCGGTCGATCAGCTCGGCCAGCTGGACCTGGCAAACGCAGAGTGGAGGAGACTTAAGCAAGATGGCCTCCGCGCTAAAAACAAATACGAACTTCTGTACGAGGGGAAAAACCAGAGTCTCTACCTTTGTGCTGTAGTACCAGATGGCTTTGTCTTCTTGCTCGCCGTCCTCCTCACTGGAGACGACAGTTGGATTAAAACAATATTATTTTTTCATTTATATTTGTTTATAGAACGGTGAAATGGTAAATGGCCTGTACTTGTGTAGAGCTTTATCAAGTCCACAGCTGAAGTCCACTGCTCTATTTTTTTTTTCTTTGAATTATCCGCCACCAGAGGTTCACTGAGCATCATTCATAGTTTATCTTTGTAAGGAAGTTTGTTTACCTGTTTTTAAATTAAATAATGTATATTGTTCCCAAATGTAACAAATTGTACATCCTTTTCTTAATACCTCAGAAGATGGGTCAGACTAACACTGTTGTGACAAAAAAAAGGTCAGAATGAGATGATTTTCCATTTATTAGCCCTGACTGGCGATCAGGAGGCCAAATACTGAAAAAGCTGACATTTTGTTATTTAGTAAATGCACCAAAACAAAGAACTCTCACTTCCATTTGTCGATTGAAGCATCAACCAACAGCATGTTCTTAGCCACATTTGTTTTAGTTAGGAATATTTACTTTAATGTCTAAAGTGGGTTATATTTGTTGTTCATGTTTTGTTGGATTCAAAACTACAGAGTCCACCAATGAACTGGCAGCCAAATGTAGTCTAATGTCCTTATTGGAGCCCTTTGGTATTGGTCAGAAGAGGCCGATTAGTGCATCTCTAGTTGTTATGATCAATGGAGGAATAGCACATTAATACTTAAAAAAAAAAATAAAGTTTTTTTTTGGCGTCCTCCTTTTTCAACTTTAACAAAAAACAGAGAGGTTCATATGTTTTGATGTACAGAAGGTAACCGTTTTCTGTTTGTTTAAAGCTACTCCATCAAGCTAAGAACCTGCAGTAGATTATTCCTAATTGGCCAACAGTCCCTAAAAATCTCAGAATGGAAAAATCCAAGCTTGAGGAAAACCGGATGCCCTGTTAGCCAGAAAATTATGGGAAACACTGAAAGTTTTTGGAGACTCTTGCCTTGCACACATCTGCTCCAATCTCAATTTCCAAGAACTTTACGCAGCTGGATACAGCAAAACAAAAACATAACCCGAACATTAGTCATACCGCTGGCAGATTTAGGCTTAAAGTATTTAATTTTTCCAACATGTTCTTGTATGAAAGGTTCATTGGAACGGCTGAGTTAAACCAGATCATATCAAATCATTTTAGACGTGGCATTTTAAAAACTAAATGTAATTTTTTTTTTTTTTTGTTCAATATTTTACTGTCGTTTTGACAGAAATCCATCTAATTTCCTATCAAAAATAACGTTTCTGGTAAAAGGAAAGTAATTTTAAATCACGTTATTTGTCAGTGTCTTTCTTGGCACTCAAGGTCACCTTAACATCAAAAATCTGTGAGGTGTATGAATAATTTTGCTGTTCAGTTTTGTGTTTAGAATATTTTCGTTACCAAAATTTATTTCTGCAAGTAGTACTAATAACTTTGATGTGCTTTGATACATCCTACTTACAGTGTGCAACATTGAAATGATTGTCTCTTCTGAATCCTACCTGAATTTAGAAAACAGATCGCTGCTCATGAACACTGTGAACTTACACAACAACCCGGCGATTCAAGAACCAGTATTTACGATGGTGCCGGTCAAAGCCAACTGGCAGCTGACGGAGAAAGGGCTTGGTCTTCTGCAATTCAGGCACACAGTCCGCCACGCCGGGCACCTTGTGCGCCACGCAGACCTCGCACTGCCACTCGTCCTCCGGCACTTCCTGCAAGGGAGGCTTCACACACTCCAAGTGATAAACAGCCGAGCACGTCTCGCAGCACAGCAGATCGCCGAGCCGGTGGCACACCCTGCAGTGGTCGTCGTACGCAACCACACCTTCCGACATCAGCTCCTCGCGGGCGATGTTGGTCGCCAAGAAATGGTCCACCAAAAACTGGAGGACTTTCACTTTGCTCTCCAGCGTCTCGTACGGGTAGTCCTCGTTCTCCAGGAAGGGCAGGATGTGGCGGTATTCCGAGTCACTCTCGCAGTACGCCCGCACCACCTCCGGCCAGGTCATGCCGTCCACAAAGTACAGCGTGGAGTTAACCGAGTCCTTGACGTCAGCGGGACCGAACGTGGTGTTGGACGTGTCCTCCTCTCTGAGGATCGCTTTGAGCAAAGAGATGTGGGTCTCAGCCAGCAGCGTGCACTGCTCTTGGCTGGACAGTGCCGTGCAGAAGTCCTCGAAGCGGAACGGCGAGAGGCGCAGCACCGTGCCGAAGTTGCGCAGCACCTCGTAGACGGCGGACACGTTGAGGAGCTGCGAGGTAGAAACCAGGAGGTCCTCGGAGGACTTGGGAAGCTCCAGGGGGGGAATGTCCTTTGCCTCAAGAAGCGGAGAGCGAGGCCGCGGAGCGCGACTCCTTTTCCGACCTGCAACGAGGAAAAAGACAGTCGTCAGGAGGGAGAACGTTTGGATGCAATACCAAAGGTAACCTTCTTACACACTGCAATGCCTGAATGCTAAGGGCCTCTTCATACATGCAGCAAAATCAATGAGTGATTGCAGTTGCCTTAGTTACATTTTAATGAACAAGCAAATGCTGAAAAAAAGAGAGCCTTTCACAATAAGGAATAACTAAATTAGCCGCTAAATTAAAATGAACTCAAAACTTTTCATTTGGATGATTAATATTTTTTGAAAGGCAATTTTGTTAACAGAGATCAATACTTCTATTTGTTGGTCTGTAATGTTTGTTTTCTGTGCACTAATTGATGAATAAATAAATAGAGACTTCATAATCCATTTATGTTTGTTTTTGTTTATTTATATTTAAAATATCTTCCAGATTCAGTGCTAAGTGTTCTTTACACAATTAAAGTATGTTGATATTTGAGAGGGTGTACTTGCGTTATTATGACATTATTATTGTATTACTTGAAAATGGTCTCAAAACAACATTATTATCGTTTATCGCAATCATCTCTGGGACAATTTGTCATTCAGAAAAATTTGTTATCATGACAGGCCAAAAAAAAAAAAAAAAGTGAGTCACATCAAAAATATTCTACAGTGTCTTGTGGGAGACAAAGTAAGAGGAAACAGCTATCTATATAGCAAAAATAACATCATTGTTATTAAAAATAATTAAAACTAACATATTTCAGTATTTTCCAAGTCAGGGCCCCGATCAACTGTGTTACCAGTTGAGATGAGTTTATCACCTAATTTTATTTATCACCTAAGCATGAGCTGGGCTAAAAATACCCCCCACCTGCCGCTGAGTGTTTTAGTCTTTTATGGATGAGAACAGAGAAAGTGATATGCTGCAGGTGAGACTTCACAGAAAACAGGAAAACATTTATGCCAAACAGGCTGGAACAAAACGATGCAGTAAAATGTGTCTCAAAATAAAAGATCTGATTAGACGCCTAATAAGACTGTTACCTGTCTCCACTGATACTTTTGATTCTTCATAACAAAAATTTCAGCCAAAAGAAATATGCCAGTCAAAATAAAACATTACTTTAAGTCTGAATCTGTCAGGTGAATGAATAGTTTAAGCCCACCTCAGTATGCCCTTCATTAGATATTTGAATGTAGTAATAAAGGTGGGTGCAACCAACCTTTGTGGCCTCACTGCTGACGAAGGCAATTCTTTTTCAATAACCATTGTGGCTTAAATAATATTCTCATAAAGTCATGATACTCGAGTATGACAAGGCCTGTCACGATAAACAATAAATCAATTAATCACTTGCTAAATTAAAGCAAGCTCAATAATTTCTATTTTCATGATTTATCGTTTCTCTTTTTACTAAAAACCAGATGATAAAAGTTTTCAGTCTCAACTAGCCCTTTTTTGGAGGACAATTTTGTTTATAGAGACTTCAAATTTCATTTTATTTGTTGTTTCTGTTGTTTTGTTTACTTATTTTAGATATTTTAAATGTTCTCCATTTAAAATATCCGAGGTCCAGTGTTAGAATTTAAAGGTTATTGACCTTCAACAATGTGTTCTTGCATTTTTATGCCATTACCATTACATTACTTGAAAATGGTCTCTAAACAACACTATCGCAATTTATCGCAATAATTTCTGGGACAATTTATCTTCCAGCAAAATGTGCTATCCAGACAGGCCTAGGTATAAATACATAAACATATACATCAAAAATATAAAAATAAATCAGACATCCTGGTCACGCTGGAACGGGAGAGAATATGTGTAATCCCTGAACCATTTCAAATGCATCTAAGCCTGTGGTGAAGTGTGACAGAAAGAAAACAGAAATCACGTGTCGCAGAAAAATTATTTAAAAAAGGATTTAGGTCACAGAAAACTCATTTGTAATTACTTTACGTAATTACACATAGTAAATACCATATTACGTGAAATAGTCTTAATTACGCTGCTGCACCTTCATCAACGCAAGTGTCCATAACTGTCCACGTGAAAAAGGCAAGCTTTCACACAGTCACTATGGTTACGGTGCGCCGCTTTATAAATTAGAGGTTGCCACATGTGGGGGGGGGGGGAAGATGCCCGGCTTTAAATATCGTGTATAGAATCAAGCCATCCATAAAACTGAATAATGGAATCTAAAGCAAAGTTCGTAACAGTATGTACTTTTAGGTATTGTGAAAATAAAATTATAGCGAAAAAATTTCTACCCGTAACACCTGTTTTGCGAAGTGTAATTAAGTTTTATTAAGAACCTTAAATGCATTTAAATCTGTAAGCTAAACTTAGAAACAACGCCCAGAGAATTACTACGCTGCAAAAATATAAATTTCAATAAATAATATTTACTGTATATAAATCTATGGAATGCATATAAAGTGTAGGAGAGAATTCATACATCCCGTCTCTTCACGCTTATGTAAACATATTAAAGACGACGCGCGAGCGAACGCGAAGTAAAATCAGCACGAGCACGTTCACTTTCAAAACAAAAACAAAACATGTGCTGATTTGACAAAAGTTAAAAATACCGAAACCCCTCGGAGAGTGGGGTCAGATTTGTAGGATAGCGGACCGTAGAGCACACGGTAAACAAAGGCCCGTTTCTGAGTGCCAGCTCCATTTTGAACAATGCGGCTTCGTTTCTGTTTTGAGCTAAAAATAAAATTTACACTTTCAGTGCTGCAAACGTGCTCTCCTTAACTGCGTGCACTTGCAGACCTACGTACCTGGGGTGCTTCCGAGCGTGCTGTGGCTCCTGAAACTACTCTCAGTACAGTAGCTGGCATCCTCATCATCTGGTAGGTCCTCCAGATAGTCAGACTCGTTTCCCAAGGCCTCCTCATCTTCTAGATCCGACGACGGATTGTCGTTCAATTCGTCTTCGTCAGAACGGTAGCTTAAATTATCATCCTCCTCGTCGCTGTTGTCGTCGTAGACCACCTTGGTTTGAGGTCGCCTCACTCCGCCTCTACTGCCGCGGCCACCTCTGGACCCCCTACCCCTTCCTCTGCCCCGCGATGCCGCTGCAGCCGCTGCTATGGAGGCTCCAACTTTCCTACGGCCCCGCGACGAATGAAAGTTCTCTCGGCCGGAGATATCAGTATCCACCTCCACGGAACCGATGCTGCAAACACCGCCACTTCCTCCTCGTCCCCGGCCCCGTCCTCTGCCTCTTCCCCGTCCACGCATCCCTCTGGTCCTGCCACCCCGAGAGCCCCGGACTGGCCCCGGTGAGCTTTCCCGCATCACGGCTGCTTGTTTGGGCGGCCTTCCTCTTCTCCCCCTCATTGTAGGAGAGAAGCTACTATGTTCCGCTTCAATCTCGGTGCTCGAAAGAGGCGCACACTCCGGAGAAAAACGGGGAGGACGAAAATAGCGGGTCCGGCGACGGTTCCCAATAGGTCCCCACAGAGCCCGGGGCTCAGTTTAAAGGAGGAAAGCTTAAACTGAATGGCCGGTGTCCCGCTCCGAGTCGCCTGCAGACGCCATTTTTCTTCTCGACTCTCCCTCCGTTGAAAACACAGCAGGCCTCAAAGCTGCATAAAGTTACACTCAAGCAGTAACGTTCAAACCGGAAGTAAGCCTCTTTCCCATTAGTGTTTACGAACTGATAATAGTCATGAAAATAGCACAGTATGGTGAAAATCATTAACTGAATCAATTTGAACAACTTATTATGCCTCCTACAAATTAAAATCAATATAGGGAGAAGACTGAAACTATGAAGTTTCAACATGTTTACTGGAGCTCTTCCGGAGAAGTGACTGTCATCTCCAGCTTGACGCTGCCAAACCTGAGTTAATTCGCGGTCACGTGACTCTATTCTACAACAGACGCAATAGCCGTAGTTCGTAAAATTACTTATCCATGCTAACGCTAAGTGCACTTAACTAGCCGTTTACTGTGTGTATGAACAGATGCAAACACGGGTGGGCTAGATATATTGTAGATTATGTACTGCAATAACCTCTCATAGTATGTTTTCAGCCCCGGCGCCATTACCGTCACATACGGCGCAGCGAACGACACTGTGCTGGACTTAAAGAACTTATTAAAGTTTATCCCATTCACACTTTCACATATCAAAGTAATTTTTTTTCTTTACACAGTTGCATTATCCCTTTTTATTTTCTATTGAATTTACATAGATAAATTACAATTTGACAATGTATTTCTTATCCTTGATAAATAGCAGCTCAACAGACAAGCTAACTAAAGTTTGCTTTCTGACAGAGTAATATCAATAACGTTGCTTTTACAATTGAACAAATACAGTCAATATGATTAAACACGTGGTACCATCTGGTTTATCAAGCCATGTTTGATGACGTATAACAACAGTTGTCGTGGCCGAGTGGTTAAGGCGATGGACTAGAAATCCATTGGGGTCTCCCCGCGCAGGTTCGAATCCTGCCGACAACGACATTTTTTCCTTTCATTATCACAGCCAATAGAGAAATCTGCTTGTTTTGCCCAAAATTATACCTTAATATGCAATTTCATTACACTTCTCAAACAACTTCAAAGTATATACAGCGCATTAGAATCCAATTCTAAATTCATTAAAATCCAATCCAGTCAAACATTTACAATCACATCCAATGTAATACAGTAGAATACTTTGGACCTTCAACAGTGGCTCGTTACTTTGGCTAAAAATGAAAAGCAGATGAATTTGAACCGGGAACAAGTGCAGCTTCTGCAAATGATGCGCCTACTCTCCAAATGAGCCATGTGGTGCCTGTTTTCAGTCTCTTGATTCTGTGTCTCGTCTTCAGGCGTCCCTCTATTGTGCCTGGAAGCTCTACGGTCATTAATTCACTGGAATTTCAACAGGATTTTCTGTTTCCGTCTACCTCTGTGTCTTCTCTCTCCTCACTGGCCCAGTGCTGCTGTCTTGTCTCAGTCAAGCTAAAGTATCAGCTTATGATAATACACACTTATTTCACAACTTGATTTTCTTATCTTCCTCTGATTGATGGTGTTTAAAACTATAAGAATAAAAAGTCAAAGGACTTTTAAGTCAATGTGTTGAGTTATTTTTTCTTTTCCTAAACTTGGCGAGGCGTGGCACCCAGCAGACGACGCTAAACAACACTTTCTTTCTTTGGTTGATGAGTTACAAATTGATATTCTTAAACAATAAGCCATTCATCCATCCATCCATCCATCCATCCATCCATCCATCCATCCATCCATCCATTTTCTTTACATCCTTGTCCCTTAGTGCGGTCGGGAGGGATGCTGGTGCCTATCTCCAGCTAACGTTCCGGGCGAGAGGCGGGGTACACCCTGGACAGGTTGCCAGTCTGTCGCAGTTAAACAATAAGCATTTATTATAAATCTTAATGAATTTAATAATCTTAAAAAGTTATTAAATGCATTAACTTAAGATTTTAACAGTACGTTTTCAAAAAATCTATCTACATGTAACAAATATTTGTCCATTCAATTTTGTAGAAAGAAAAAAACATCAAATCAATCAAAAAAATTTATATTTGTCTGCCTAACTTACAAAACATATGTAAAGCATATACACCAACATCATATTTGCCAAACAAATAGAAGCTAAAAGGAAAACATAGGGGTGTCTGGCTAAAATTAATCTAACTTCTCTCTTTACCCGCATCAGTCTCTTTTAACAATACACTGCCCTCTTGTGAGCAAATAATCGAACTGCCAACTGCAATCGAAAATTAATGAAACACAATTATTTTCCTGTGCAACATAAAAATCTGACACGGTATTTGTAAACATAATGAAAGAAAAAAAAACCCTAGTGGATTAATAACAATATAAAGTCTTGGATGAATTGCATGAACAAAACTACAGTATTTATGAAAATATAGGAAAACATTTTTATTCAGAGATGTAAGTCCTTTAAATTTATCTCCAACTAATCCACTTTGTTCTATGTATTAATAGAACATAACAGCATATATAAAAGCATTTTTACCTCCATCATTACTGGCTGTATTTGACAGTAAAATATTTGAGCTTATCTGCCTTTTGCTGTTGCTTCTTTTTATCTCCATGTGATGCTGTGGTGTTTTTGATAATGTTATATAGTTAAAAATGTCAAGAACAAGTGGCACAAAGCTGCCAATGTAGTTCCCCAGCCTTTGATCTTCATAAGACTCCCACACACGCCTGTAAATGGCGAAAGTGTGTGTCAGTCTGCACCAGTTGCGGTCAGTCAGCAGGGAGAGTTGGCCTAAATATCTGTCAGTGTCGGAGGGGAAGAGGCCTGAAGTCTGCAAACGAACCAAGGGAAACCAACCCAACCCGTCCTCAGTAGCAGTTAGAACATTTGAGTCAAATTTGGGTGCAGTCTGTTAGCGTGAACTCACAATCTGTGAGGACTGTAAGTCATGCTGAGGGACTTCAGCTTAAAGCTCAAACAATGAGTTCGGAAAGTATTCGGTTCCACTTCATCTACATTTTATATTAGCCTTTTTCCAAATTGTATTAAATTATTAGTTTTCCTCAAAATTCTACCCACTAATACCCAGTTATGACAATGTGGCGAAGAAGTTCTTTGCCGATTAAAAAGTAGAAATCCGAGAAATGTATGTAAACTTCGAATTTTGAAGATATTAGCAAATAGTCTTATATTTTCTCTCTCGTCACTGTGGCGTTTAGCAAAAATAAATAATTTAGGTAATTCTAACTGACAAACGAATATCCTCTTCGAAAAAAAAAGTCTTCTTTTTACTTGGTGCACATGTAAGCTAGCTAGTTTCGGCTGTAATTCTGTTATTCAGCAGCAGAAAACCTTCTGGATTACAAGAGAATTAAAGATTGTATCCTTAATCTTAGGCTTGTGTAGGCTAGTTGAACTCGGAGAATTCACATTTGTGTTTTCATTATTCTTTTTGTACTTTCCTGTATTCACTGCCTTAAATCTCAAGTACCTTTCACCAACAAAAGTATATTTTACGTAGCCCTTCTGGTGAAATGGCAGAAGAAGAAAAAAAAAAACTCGTTTTTTTTTCTTCTACATTTTTTCCTTCCAATGTCTACAGACGTCCTCCGTAACATTTTGAACAAAAGCATGAAAAATACACTGATTTACTAACCTGTAGCCTGGCCAAAGCCTTCCTACGCAATTCCACTCGATTCTAAGCTACTCACGTGGTCCATTTCTCCCGTTGACTTGGATTTCTCCTGTTGAATTTCAACCGTGAGTCATGTAGCCAGCAGAAAAAGTTGTGAACGATGACATCGATTTTCTGCGCAGTTTTAAAATAGTAGTTTTGGCAATGGCGGCAGAGGAAGTGAACAAAACTGTTCTGTCCATGTTGGCCATGCTTTCAAATACTGAATTAATATTAACGGTTGCCTCAGTCGGCTCTGCACTCCTCTCTTTTCAGTGGAGAATGGTCATTTACAATGCAGGCAACTTCCGGTTAGCTTCATAGCGTAGGACCCGTGTTTTACATTAATTTGGTTGAATTTAAAACTTAAGTATGCCTCTAGAAGCATAGTGTATAACAATGGGACAGGTTTTTACAAGGTTAGCTAACCTGTTACAGTTCCACAAAGGACAAAATGACACAAATAGATCCCGTTTTCATAGATATTTAGAATCAAGGCTTTTTTTTTAAATGTGTAAAATACAAAAACAATTAATAGATTTACAAAAAAATGTTAGCTGTATTATGACACTCAAAAAAAGCAAAAATACTGAATTTCGTGGGCATTATTAAAGTTCCACTAATATATATAGAATATAAAAACTTTACCATAATGTTCCATGAAGAGACTTTCCCTCCACTTGTCTATAAAACCATCAGATGTACGACTTTGAATTAAACATGCAAGTCCAAAATAGTCACAATCCCACCATCTAAAATAAATGTACAAAATAATTTTTCAGCTAATGAAATAATTATGCCAGACGTACATTTTCTTTTCATTCACAGTAAAACCTAAATGACTAGAAGCATCTGAGGCAAAAAAAAAAAGCCCATTTAAAGACAAACTGCAGCAACAGTAGGTATTTCATAAAGCCACGCCCTCTAGTACAGCTCCATGACTTCAATAGAGTATTGCCCCACGTCTTTCTTCATCTTCATCTTACTGAGCTCCTGGAGGCTGCCCTCGATCTTCCCGAGCTCAGAAAACAGTCTTACCTAAAAGACAAAAGATTTAAAAAAAAAAAAAAAAAGAAAATTAATTTAAAAGAAAGGTGCATGTTGTTCCAATACACTTCCCAGAAACAATCGGTCAGTTATTGTAACAAAAAATGGATGTTTACCTGAGATTTAACAAAAGACTGGAGGTTCAACAGCAAGTCTATGGCCACTGGAGACATTACCAACACAGTGAAGTGGGCATCCAACAGCATGCAAACCCAATCCATGACCTGCATTTGACAGGAATGTACAAAAAATAAATAAATAAATATTACATCTGATTTGCTTACACCTTTATTTTGGTTTGCAATGCACAGACAGCACAATAACTGGTGGATATTGGGTGCAAACTTTCAGACTGCTCAAGAGTATCTTAAATACCTGATTCAAACTGGGTGATCTGTAGCCGTGCGTTTGTGAGGAACCATCTGTGGAATATCGCAGGTAAAGAAACTCCAGGTACCGGAGGAAAAGCTGATTGGAAATTAAAACAAACAA